TGTGTTCGGAATTCCTAGGTTTTCTCTCCTTTAGGCAAATAGAGTGCTGGGAAAGTCCTCCTGTCAAGCACTCACTTGGTGTCATATCACATGTAAACTCTCCTGTCAGATAATTTGCTTCTTGTTATACGTAACTAAAGGATCGGGAATGGTGTCCTTTGATTGATTGTGCCCACAGGCAAAGGAAGGATTGAAAAGAACTTGTTTCTGATTAGTTCTGTATACAGTAATGACGGCAGTCACTGTATTAGGATTCCCTCCCCACATGAGCGTCCCTCATCCTGTTGTCCTGTTTTAGGTCTGTTTGATGACCACCTGACATTTCATTATCTATATATTATTAACATTTGGCATGAAGTGATGTAGGGATTTCAAGTCATTAGGGGCCCCTGGAAAACAACCTGCAACTTCAAAATTTAGAAAGTTCTGCTCCCCTGAGAGCACTGTAAAGCTCTTTGTTAATCAGATTTCCACCACTGTGACAAAATACCTGAGTTAAATCAACTTTTAAAGGAAGCTAGATTTATTTGCTTATGGTTTCAGAAGTTTCGGGCCATGCTCCCTGGCTCTATTGTTTTCAGGTCTGTTGTGTGGAAAAGTGTCATAGTGGGGAACATAGAGTAGAGTAAGCTGCTCATTAGACAGCGCCCAGGAAGGGATCGGGGTAAAGTATAATCTTCAAGGACATCCCTCTTCCAGGAATTCTGCTTCTTTCAATCAGGCAGCATCTACTAAAGTTTCTATCACCTTGAAATTGTTCATTATATTATGAATCCATGAATTGATTAATCTATTTGTGAGGCCAGAGTACCCATGATTCAACTCTCAGGGACCCCACCTCTGAATACTGCTGCGTTGGAAACCAAGCCATTAATGCACGAGTTTCCAGGGAAACATTTAAGATCCAAATTATAATGAACTTCTTATATGAAGATGGTATATTTAATAGTGGTTTATCAAATTTTCTAATTTCATTTCATTGCTGTGTTACAGATTGATGTTCTCAAGGCAGATCTGGAGAGCGCAGAATGGAAAGTTTTGGAAAATCTTATTCTGGAAGATGTCCTTGAGCAGATTGGACAGCTCATCTTTGAGATTCATCTCCACTGGCCTGGGTTTGAGGTCAGCGGTAGTGACAGCAGTGTGGTGCGATTCTGGTACAGTCTGCTCAAAGAGCTGGAACAGAAGGATTTCAGGCTTTTTCACAGTTACAAAGATTTATCTAAACCTCAGCTCTTCCTGAAGAAGGCTATTTTCAATGCTAGTAGCTGTTACACTTTGAGTTGGGTGAATACAAGATGGAAATAGGATATAGGACTTCATCAAAACACAAGGAAATATTTTGCAGACTTGAACATGTGCACTTTTCTGGTCATCCAGCCTCTCACTGGCCTGATTGTAGGCAGGGCTTGTGTTATTGTTTCCATAGTTATGTACCCTGCCACATGATGTGTGACAGGGCAGTTCATATTTGTTAAAGGGATGAACTCTGTCATGCCCATTTGCCCAGATGCAGGCTCTTTGTCTTCTTGCCTTTGGAGTGGGAATGTTTGTCCTCCTTCACTATCATTAGGAGCTAAATCTCCAGTTTATCCAGCGTTCTCTGACATTCATTATGTACCTAGAGTCCATGAATTTACAAACATTAAAGTTATATAAATTTTCCATTTTTACTGAGTTGTTATTCCTAAATTCATTGTCCATGTTTTCAGATTGGGTCTTTCATCTGACTTCATTCAAGTCATCTCTTTTAAGGTTCTGCTTGTCTACCTAATCAGTGACATTCTTTACAGCCTTGTGGACATCAAAATTCCTTCTCAGTCTTTGCTGAAGCCACACTGAACTTTGTAAGAATGACTGATGCTGGTTTCTGGGAATTCAGACACACCAGATTTTGACCTGAGTTTTAAAAAACAAGACTATCAACAGCTTCGATGCAAGAGTCTTTTTGTATTTAGCCTTAAATTCCTTTATTCTTAAAAACCAAAGTGTCCTCTGCCTCTTCTGCTTTCCAGGATGAATCTCTGCCACAGACTTGCTTATGCCATCAGATCTTTATTTTTTAAACACACTCAACATTAAGTACATTTTTTTTTACTACCAGTTGATATCATTTATAAGACTATGTCCTGAAAATCAAAGTCTCTTCCCCAGTGATTCAGTGGCTCCAATCCTTTGTGTGTATTAAAAAAAAAATTAAGCAGAACATGTAGGTTCTCAACGGTTCTAAAGATTTCTGTGTATAGGACTGGAAATGCTCCTATGAATGCTATTCAAAAAAATTCTATTTTGAACAAATTAATTAGTGTAAAATAAGACAAACTGATTAAGTATATTTCTGGCATTTTTTTTCATCCTAAAACTGTGAAAACTAGGTACATCATTCAAGCAATTTTGGGAAGAATAGAATATTGAGTACTTTATCTTGTCTCCTAGTCTTTTTTTCTTGTCTTTTTTCTTAACTTGCTTCTACCCTTAGACATTCTGAGTACTGGCTTTTTGTTTCTTGTAATGGTTTTTTTTTTTTTTTTTTAATGTTCTTCAAATAATAAACCAACATATAGTAGACTGGGGTATTCTCATTAACTCGAGTTCAAGAAAACAGAATTCCTGAATTGTGGATTTTTTAAAAAATATGATTTTGATTTTGCAATTCATAAAGCACAATAAAAGTTGTTGAGTTGAGAGGACCAGCTTGAATAAGTGTGATGTGAGGTGGCAGCTCAGTCCCCTTAGTGTAGAGACTCATGCTGAACCGAGGGCCTGGGTGCCACAGCAGGGGTGCAAAGCCCTCACTGTTGGCACAATGGAACCATCACTCAACATTAACCCAGAAGGGAAGCATTCAGGTTGAATTGCAGTGTTGGTACTTTATGGTAACTATATGGACTTTGGGTTGCAGTTTGGACACTCAGTCTCTAAAAGGTTCACCATCACTGATACAGGGACTTTAAATGTGCAGAATAATCCCTGAAAGCTCTAAAGTGGTTTGTTCCTTTCGTTTGTAGGATGTCATCTTCAAATTAAATCTACCTTTAGTCCAATCTGTTTGGATTACTTACAGATTTTTTTCATGAAAAATGTCCACACTCAAATGAATACAGTAAATATTCTCTGAAGTGTGGAATGTACTAGTCGTAAGTGCCTACTCTGATCAGCTTTTAGATGTGTCCATACCCGTATCAAGATCTTTAATTCACAGAATGGAAGATTTATGGCATTCCTGGAAGCTTCTATGTATAAAGCAAGTTAACTAATTAATCCAGATCGGTGGTACAGAACATTAACTTCATCATACTATATATATCTGAAGCAAGAAGGGATGTACTGTTAACAGGAATAAATTATAAACACACCCACCCATACCCACCTATTCCACCTACGAGGCAGCCTGTTCAATAGTTATCCATTTTTATGTATGCTTACTCCCTTCTTGGGCAGTTTGATGGTTGGTAGGGTTTCCCTGCCTCTTGAATTGATTGTTTACCATGGAGACATTTCCTAACTTTCACAGTATTACCAATTGTGACTAGACAATTCTCTGATGGGGTGGAGGGTATTGTAAGATGATCAGCAGCGTCACTGACCTCTACCCACTAGCTGGTGGGAGCAACGTCCTCACCCCTCAAATTGTGACAACCAAATGCCTGCAGACAGTGCCAAATGTTCCCTGCAAGGCAAAACTATCCACTGTGTCTTGCTTATTCTGCATATTGATTCTTCTACAATCCACTAAGAATCAATGAATGCAGATGTCCAATGTGAGAAATATGCATCTGTGATAAGGTATCAGTTATTCCAAGTCTCACACTGAGATCCACACTTAAGACTGCTAATGGACATTGTGATCGGACACCCCTTTACACTCCTTTCCCGGTGCCCGAGTTCATCGTGCTCCCCCAGTTATTCACTGTGTTCTGAATGCCACATCCTGGTAAGCAGCATACCCCAGAGGTAGCAGAAGGCCAGGTTTGGGTCATGTGGACCTTCTAGAAGCCTCTGTGAGTTGCTGGTGTGATGATCCTCAGGATTGTCTCTAAGTATTTGTTATACACTGTGTCAACCTGAGAAATTTAGAAGTTTAACTAAAAGGCTCGGCAGGGAGCCAGGATCCTTAATTTCATAAATATCCTCATCCTGTCAAGAGGAGGGCACAGGGATTTTGTGAGCGCTGGGGCCTTCAGTGGCTGGAGGTGGCCTGCATGCAATATAAGGGAGGAAAGTGGCTTGTTCTTTCTCCACTTTTTGTTCTGCTGCCTTGAAGGGTTGCCCTGGTGCCACGCCTTGGAGCCAACTGATTATGGACTGAAACCTCCACAAACTGAGCTAAATAAACAAACCTTTCCTTCTTTCATTTTGGGTGTTGAGTATTTTGTCCCAACAACAAGAGAAAAGTAAATGGTCAGTATTTCTCTTGGAGGCAGTTTATAAAGTGTCCTCAAGAACCATTCTATATAATACTTTCTACTTAGGAATAAGACTGATGCTACTTCCTTATTCTTTATTTTAAAATTGGCCTCAGTGAGCACAAAGTATTTCCAGCTTGTGCTTCAATATTTAAATATTCAAGTAAATCTTTCACCAAAGCATCACTTTTATTCTAACTTTGAAGAAGGAGATATGTACTGAGTGTGACAAAAAGGTTGCAGTCAGGACAAGGAGCCAGTTGGTAACTACTTCAAATGAGAACAGTAAGATCTCAAGAATTTCTTAGCTGTGAAAAAGCTGTACTCATTTGTGTGTTCTAAAATGGGTTTAACCATGCTTTAGTGTACCACGAAATGCCCTAAATGTACTGCCTTGTATTTTATCGTAGTAACTCCATTAATATATGAAATATTTTACCCTCATCTCTAAAAATTTGTTTCCATTTAAGTTTATAAATGGTTTAGTGTGGAAATTAATTGATCCAGCCCACGAATCAATTCGTGGGGTGTATACCTGGAGGGGGAACGGGGATGAATAAAACAGGGTGGGAGACAAAGAGAGAGGGACACAAGTTGAGGAGTCCAGTCAAGTCTCGTTTATTCAGGAAGTGGTTGCAGCTTTTATGGACCAAAGGCGGGCTGGTGGGACAGGAAGAGGCTACGGGGTGGTTTCTGATGGGTCATCGTCACCTCCGGGTATGTGACGTAAGCAGGAGAGGATTATGGTTAATGTAGGCAGGTGCATTATGTGCCCATAAAGAGGGAGAGGCAGGGAGGCAGCAATGGGGCTGTCGTGCCGCTCCCTACAATTAATGATAAACATTTCAACATTTTTTATAAAAGATGCTTTATTCAAAAATAGGATATTTTCAAAACAGAGAAAATTTATGTACACTATCTTGTTTAGAAACAGTCAAAACCACAATAAAATAAATCCAGATTTAGAAATTATGATTTGTAACTTACACAACACTGGTGCTGAACAACAGTTTAGATGTATGATTCTTTTTGCCACATCTCATTTTATTAATTCACACTTGTTAAACTAGTGGCCGGAACTAAGGAAAGCGCTTGATTTTCTCCCTCTTAACTGCCTCTTCCTGGCTGTAGATACAAAGAAATGGCAGCAGCTAGGCAGGATGCTTCTGTTTCTTTGGATCATGTGTGTCAAGTACATCTCTGTTTTTATTTTCTTTGAAATGTACTTATATGTGGATACAGAGCCTGGTCAGTTTATCAGCCCTCTTTCCTTTTTTGTGGTCCCAGTCCTTTTTAAAATTTTGCTAAGTTGCCCTGGCTGGCTCAAATTTGTGATCCTCCTGCCTCTGCTTTCCAGAAAGCTGGGTTAACAAGGTGTTTACCATTATGCCTGTCTGACCAGGATTTAAATTATAACTTAAAAATGGAAGCTCTCTGAAGACAAGAAGCATGCACTCCTGTGATAACAAAAGACATGGAGCTTAACGCTCAGAGGTTACCAGCCTTCAACATAATTTTGCTTCTTAAGTCAGCACTTGAGAGCAACTCTCAACCAGTCTTTATTTTTAGCAGGGTACTGAACTATTTCAAACCACATTCAAACACCTAATAAGAGTTACTAAAACAGAAGTGGCTTGTCAAACTAAAGTGCTTTTAGCTAATGTAATCAAGAGACCATCCTAATTTTATAAACTGAAGCTTTTAATCTATTTTCTTTTTTAATCAGGGTCACTGCTTTTCAAACTGTGAAACCCAAGCCACTTTCTTGTAGTGTCAATTTTTTTCAGATTTAGGAAAAATTTTTTTCTAGCCTTAAAAATTCTGCATATGTGTTACAATCAAAACCCAGTGTCATTTTAAAGATAAAACATGAATTCAAAGAAATCACATGTTGGCATTTTGGACCATGCCTTCATAATCCGTCTCCTATGAGGAGGACTTCAGAAGTGACACTGCTCAAGCAGTGACCCTGGGGACCCTGATTGCTTCAAGAGTAGCCAGGTCCTTACTGACAGTGAACAGAAAACGCAAAGCCTTGGCTCATTCTCTTGAGTTCCATCTTCAAAAATAATGGAAGTGTTTGCTTAAATATGTAAGTCCTCTCTATAATGATCAGGAAGAAAGTCAAGAAAAGAACTCCTGACTGAATTTTATTTTATATTGTTTAATATTTAGAGGAATGTTGCAGTAAAAGGTTGCTGATTTGCAAATAAAAATATATACAATTCATGTCATAAAAAAAACGTGGAACTCATGAGGGCCAAAATTTTGTTTAGATCTTGACCCACTAAATGTAATGGAAGTGGTTTTAGTCTTCTTTCAAATATGTACTGGATTACATCATCTTTGTCCTTTACTGTTCTCCTGATTGAACAGGTAGGTAAGTATAAGGTACCTTCTTTAGTCATGAATTACGTTATTTCCTAAAGGATCCCAAATCTAGTAGGGATTCTTTTTTGAGACCAAAGAAGAACCTTTTGGTAATACATGGGAATTCAATCTAAACTGCCTCTCAACAATACTTATCACATAGAAAGTCAATGGTTTATTCATTGTATAAATAGCATACATAAAGAGCAAAATGAAATTGCCAGTGACATTATATGAGGCAAATTTATGAAGCTTTTTTTTAAACAGTCAGCTTCGTAAGGCCATGTAAGGAAAACATTACCTATAAATCAAGTTGTTATCCAACACATTTAATAATTAAATACAGTTAAATATGACATTGGATCAAAAATGATCCTAGTAGTTTAAGGACTAATCTCATTAATCCCACAGTTTAATGACACCATCCCAGCCACAGGTGATGACCTTAGATGTCTCATGCGGGTGCCACACTGCACCTATGCATACTTTATCATGAGCTTTAAATCGACTGTAGAGTTTGGTGGTCTTCCAGTCCCAAATGTTTAATTTTCCATTTCCATCTCCTGAAATCACATAGCTGTCAAAAAAAAGTCAAATTATTCAAAACACTGGAAAATGATAAAGTGGATCAAGAACAGTGACAGATTTTCTCTCCATTTTAACATAAAAGAAATCAATGAGAATATACAACACTCAAAATAAGGTAGAACATGACGTCTCTAACAGGAATGTCTACAAAGTAACTTTCTAATGAACTGCGTATCTTAGAAAATTACTTTAATTGGGAAGACTGGAATCCTGGGGCCACAATGAATGCCTCACCATCAGTCTCTGAACAGTCAAACGGTGTATGTGAATCGATTCAATACAGCCAGGAGACACAGCCTGTGGTATCGTAAGCGCTCGCTGGCTTCAACACCCTCTGAATACACCTGTGTCTGAATCGGCATCGTGTAAGGCCCAGTTGCGGGGCTATACATACAAAGCTATAGACTTCTGAATTACTTCTACCTATATATTTTAACTGAGAATGGGGCATGAATGCAGAATTTGAGTTTTAGCAAGACTATAGGCATCACAAATACAGTGTGTCCTAGAAATATTCAAAAGGTAGATTTCAGTTTCCAACATAAATGAGCTGTAGTGGCAGAACCGTTACTGTCAGTGTTGTGATATGAAATTAATTCTTCTAGTATTCATTCAATCATAGCAATACAGTGATCACAGTATTCCTAGCTTTGCTGAGAAAAGAGAAACTAAAGCATTTGTGACATGGACAGCCATTTGGTAGGTGATTAAAGGGCACAGGCCTACATAACAGAAGGAGATATAGTTACACAGAAACCTAAAGAAAAGCAAAATGTAATTTTCATCACTTGTTCTTACTTTCCTAGTGTTTTGATATATTATGCAGTTTTCATACAATTATCCTTTTGTCAATATTTGGATATGAGATGAGATCAGAAGATTTAAACTTACCTCATGTCTGGTGAAAAGTCCACTTGACAAGCATAGCCTGCTACCATGTGGCCTTTAAAAATTTTTTTCTTGTTCAGTCTGAATCTGTTCTGTGCTCCAAATATTAAGATTTGGTTATCCATTGATTGGCATGCTAGCCATTTACCTATAAATTCAATAAATGAGACATTTGAGAGAGACTGGAAAATTAAAACTATTTTCAGTATATTCACAATCATTATCATTCTTTTTGCTTCCAACTACTTTCTCATACTAGAAAATAAATTTAACATACGATCTGTAAAGTGTTACAAATAATGTGACTGGCAAGAGTTATTTCATATAAAGTAATGGATTCTATTCATACAATCCTATTATCATTGAGTACTCTTCATATAAAAGCTTCTTTCTTTAAAAACATATAGAAATTCCAAGTTTAGTGTTAATAGAACCAAATTAAAGGTTAGGAGGTGAAATTAATTTGTAATAAATATAGTAAACAGAACTGTGGGAAGAGAGACCTATCTGGTAAGTGAAATAAATAATTAACTCTGATGAGAAACACAGGTTTATCAAATAAAACAACTAAAAAAAGATATGACTAATACAGTTACACTAATTGTTTTTGAAAGGGCATGATGCTTTTATCCACCCACGATACATCAAAGCCTCTAGACTGCAGTATTTACTTGTATTCCACACACTCGTTAACACTGACTGAGCTGGTAAATGGCTTTATCCAAGACAGCGCGCAGTATTTGTAACAGGAGTTTAAAAATATTATAGGAAAAATATATTCCTGTGACAGAGTACATGATACAGCACTTACCAAAGCAGGATCCAATTTAGCTGGTCTTAAGAATGACGGGCACTTGCAAACTGTCACTAATCTGCCTGTGAGATGCCCAGGCCGAGGTCAAGCTCTTCCTTGCTACTTCACCATGGTTTTACATGTTTGGTAGCTATGTGACTAAGTGGCAGCTCAAAGATCGTGTTCCCCAACCACAGATCCTCTCCTTTAATGCCCTGTGCAGAGCTCTGATTATCTGTCAGTACCACAAGATAACTTGTACTAAAGGCAGTGTCTTCTTAAACAGGAAGCAGTAGTACAAGGATTTATCACTTTTACTTTTGCTGAGATCTTTTGCAGTGCTAAGGTGTTCTCATCATGCATAATCATACCAAAATTTCCTACGCCCTTGGAAGAGCTTCCTAAACGATACATTAAACTTGATTTGTTGGAAGCAGAACTATTAAGACAAAAACATTTGATTATCAGAATGAAATTCTTAAGATGCTCAGGCAATGTGAGCTATAAATCATTATTTTTTCAAAACGAGAAGTGGATAAGGTGCCTCACATATGAAAAGCAGTCATTATCTCTACAACACCGAAAAGATTTTCTTCTACAAGTTATGGTGGTGTGGCAACTCTTCCTAAAGGGAATTACCAAAGTTTTTATGAATGTAACAATTACAGCAAATCTTGGAGCTCATAAAGAACACATTCACACTCTACCAACTCACCGTTTGGAGACAAAGTGACTGCAGGCATCGAGTGCATACTAGGTTCAGCTATGTACTTGAAATCCACAGGGATATCCCTAAAAGTTCCAAATAGCAGATCAGAACAAGTAATTTTAGAAAAGGCTTTTAGAAGAATTATCTCTGAAACAAAGAACAGTATCCAAATAAAAGCAAACTCTTCAATAAATTATACATTTACTCAATGACTCAAGTTCACCTTTTTTATGGGACAGTACTCCACTGTGTGTAAATGCCCTATTTTCTTGATCATTTTATCTGCTGGTGGACATACAGGCTGCTTCTAAGATTTAGTTATTATGAATTGTGCTGCCTATAAACACAGGTATATATGTATGATGTCTACAACTCTTTTGGGAAGACACTTAAAAGGTCAACGGAGGGGGTTAAATGGAATTTCTATTTTTAGGATTTTTTTCCCTTCTATTTTTAGTTTTATGAGGAATCTCCATACTGATTTCCACAGCAGTCGCTAGTTTACATTCCCATCGACAATGTAAAAGGGCTTTTTCCTCACAGCCTCCCCAGCCTTTGTTATTCTGCTTTCTTGATGACAGCCATCCTTTCTGAATCTCAGTGTTGTTTTAACTTGCATTTCTCTAATGGCCAGAGATGCTAAACCTTTTTTTTGGTACTAGGGATCAAACTCACAACCTTGCACTTGCCAGGCAGGTGCTTAGGCCACAGAGTTAAATCCCCGGCTCTTACTAGCCATTTTTACTTTTTCTGAGAGGTGCCTATTTGTTTCATTTATCCACATGTACTAATAAAAACTTAAAAAACTGTACAATGGTGGGCAGAACAAGTCATTCTAACGAGCCTAGGGGTAATGCTATTTTACACGCTAATCAGCCTTAACACATTACTCTGTGAGCAGCTGAGAATGCTAAAACCACCTCGATAGCCGGCAGAGCTGTAGGATTTATGTACAGCTTTAATCCATCTTGAAATGACCAAGGACACAGAGGTTAAGTACTTGGTACCTAGACTATTTTTGCTTTACAATGTAGTGCATTTAAAAACGTACGGTACAGGAGAAAAAGCATTAAGAACAAAAACTCATGGGAGTAATACAAAGGCTTAAACAAAAACAACAAAAATGCAAACCTAGTCACATTTATAGCCCTCAAAAATTCGAAGATTATTTTTTTAATTCTGAATTGTAAAAATTCAGTAATTCTGAAAGGAATTTTGATCTTATTGCTTGAGACTAGCAATGTTTTTTACAGTCATGTGTGGGAAATGTAATCTGAGGAGCAGTGGAACAGGAAACAGCAATTTCAGCTTGAAGCTGCGGTTCAAATTCCAATAATGCCATTAATTAGAAAACAATAAATATTTGCTTCATGTAAGAATTTTCTCTGTCCATTTATCCAACCATGTAGAAGAAGAACAAATGAGTAGAGAAAAGGTTTGGTTAGAAGAAAATAATTTCACATATAACCATGGAAGTAACATTTGTCAGATCTCCAACCTTTCACGCTCTAAAAAGCACTAAGAACTGACATTCACAATGACCCAAATCTACCCAAAAAACAAGCTTCAGTCTAAAAAAGCTTCATGCTTTTTTTCTCATCTTATTTGCTAGTGGGCTAATAATTTTATAATATGGATGGAAACATCAGAGCCTTGTCTTAATTAACCACAGTGCAAGTACATGTTAGTCAATGTTGTACCACACATGGACAAAAAATTCACATGAACACTTAATTGAAGAAATCTTCGTACAACAAGCTCTGGAACAAGAACTGAAGCTGAACTATCCCGTGTATTTCATTATTTCTAGTAAAAATGTCTGCAGGCATACAGTAGTTAAATTTAATAACACTATTTTCTAATTAGGTACTGTAATTCAGCATAAGCTAAAAACAATATGTAAATGAATTCACAAAAGAAATTAACACAGGTCTATGAAATTTTAAAAAGAAGAAACATTAATATTTGTCAGCCTGCATAAAATTTCAAATTATTATTTTACTAAAATGAGTATCTTTGTGAGAAAACATGTCTACATTTCATGCATTAAGTGATTAAAATATCACGGCTGCCGATTATCTAATATAACCTCCAACTCTCCTTCAGTACCACACAACTTAGTTTGTACTGTACAGTCTGCTTAAGAAAGCCAAGTTTCCTTACGTTTGTTTCCTGTATCACTGCCAGTCACAGTAGGTTTAGAGCAAGGAAGTTTGGTAAACACCACTCACTTGGAGGCTCCTCTGCCGGTGATTTCCCTGCAGTGGGATCAGCTCTGCTTTGAGGTGATTAGGGCTCCCTTCTATACAAGCTGCCAGGAGCCCTTGTAATTTCTGGGGATAATGAGCTGGTTTGCGTCCTGCTTCCCTTTGTACAACAATTGATCCTTACATTTCTTGCTTTTTCACAAATCAAACCAGATGCAAGGTTGTTTTCAGTTCACTCACTCCCCTATCTAACAACAGTCAAGAACTCAAGTTTTGGAATCACTTGACCCGAGTTTAAATATTGGCCCTTTTGTGTCCCATATAACCTTAGGCAAAATACTTAAATCTATATAGTATCCTTATATAAAAAATGGGAATAACAACTCATAACACTGTTTTGCATAGTAAGAGTTCATACACAAATGTTCAGCACAGATTGGCAAGTATAAAGGACTTCATAAATGTAATGTCATGAGTGATTCCGACAGCTGTGATGGCTGACTGGTTGTGTCAACTTGAGTAAGAAGCTCGACTGAAGTGGCTCAGCAATCCCACTCCCTAGGGCAGCTTGTGGCCTGGATGGTATAACGGGGAAGGGAAGCAGGATGGATCCATGTCTGTTTCTTCGAAGGAGCTCCAGTCTTCACCTTCTCCTTGGATGTCTGCTCCCGGCTTCCAGAGCAGACTCTTCAGTCTTCCACTGCAGAGCCACTGGCCTCCTGATACGGACTCGCACTGCACACTGCAGTGAGCTCCAGGCCTCAGACTGGATCCTCTGCACTCTTCCTCTGAGGGTGGTCTTATAAACCAATCTTGTAGTTTCTTATATATTTGAATATCTTGTGTTATATCTGTTTCTCAAATTAACACTAATACAATGCTGATGACTTCTGATAGTAAGAGTAAAGGGAAATCTAAAGGGTATCATGATTCATAACAAAACAGTATTATGGAGCCAGGCATGGTGGCATATGCCTGTAATCCCAGCACTCAGGAGGCTGAGGCAGGAGGATTGTTGCAAATTCTAGATCAGCCTTATGTACAAAGTGAGCTCAAGGCCAGCCTGAACTGCATAGCGAGACCCTGTCTCAAAAAGCCAAAACAAACAAACAAACAAACAAAAAACCACAAAAAACAAAAAAACAACTGCCCCCAAGCCCCCCAATACCCCCAAACCAGTATTATGACCTTTTAGGAGTATGAGATCTGGGAGAGAAAGCATTTTGCTGGCCAACACTCTACTTCAAAAATACAAGCATTCTTAAACTCTGTAGCTGGTACATAATTCAAAAACCTACCAACTTATTTTACATTGCTTCTATATTTTAAAATGGAGCTAAAATATCAGCTGAAGGTAGAAACAGGTGTTATGTTTGGGCCTAATTAAAATGGTAATATATATAAAAGAAAACATGTATACATATGTTTAAGAAAGCACTGTGCAAATTATGTAGGGTGGTTTATAAAAAATGTATTTTTCATATCAGATTCTCTGTAAGAAAACATTTTAAAGCAAGAAAAGTTTAAGTTATGAGGCAGTTCTCGAACCATAACCCTTTAGGATGATACAATCCAAAGCATGAACAAAATATATGGTCAATGTTTAAGTTAAAAAATTTGTCACAGTAAAAGGCACATGCCCCTGATTCCTCGTCCCCACTTTAAGCTCACTCTGCTATCACTCCGGCCATTTTCCAAAGCAGCTCTGGAAGTTCTCTTTCATGAGTGTCGTTAGCTGCAGTCATGGTTGCTTTAATGTCCTGAACTGACTCAAAATGTTTCAGCCAAATTCTGTCAAATAAACATTAAGCTGTGTCCTTAGCCACTTTCATGACTAGATCTAGAACTGTGTGACTTCTGACTTTTGCCCAAAGTCAAAAGTACACCTTTTAGGGGCTGGAGATTTAGCTCAGCGGCGTAAGCACCTGCCTTGCAAGTGTGTGGTCATGAGTTTGATCCCCGGTTCAGATAAAAAAGAAAAAGACAAAAAAAAAGTACGCCTTTTGAATCAATTCAGGACAGTAACACAGCCATGACAGCACAACTGAAAACGCTCACAAAAGAGGACTTCAGGAGCTGCTTCAGAAAGTGGCAAGGATGATGTAGTAAGCGCGTTCACTGATAGGGAGAATACTTTGAGAGGGATTGGTGGCACTAGATCATTTACTACAATGCATTTAAAAAAACTAAACTCACTGTATTTTGCATCATATCTCATATATTAAGACTGTTTGTATCTGGTAACCTGAGCTACTCTTGAATACAGTATGCAATATAACAACCATTGTTAAATTCCTATCAGCTTGTCTTGAAATCCTGTATCACTGTGGTTTTTGTTGTACGCTTCTTTTGTTTTTTCTATCTTCTCTTTAAAATTTAAAAAAAAAAAAAAAAAGACTCCATATAAAGTCCTGTCAACTGTAACAGTTGGAAGTAATCTAAAGGTTTGGTGGGAGAGTAAGTGTAGGAGTAAGTGCAGTTAAATTACACAGCAGCTTTGATTAGCATCTAAATTGTCCTGACAATGGTAAGGCCTGCTCAGCTGCCCAAAGGGATTTGGTTTGAACAGGAAACCACAGACTGTGGCTCCAGGCTGCCCACTTTTTCCTAAAGTGTAACAATTTCTGGGGGTGCTCTGAAGTACATTCTAGTCCTTGCAAGGCTATAATCATAGTCGAGCCATGCTTCGTAACTGAATATAAAAACAAGCTGGTTCCAACCACACGTTTATTGTAACAAAAAAAACATAGTGTCTTTGTTTGCAACTAAATTATAGAACATGACCTACGATACTTAACAAAACTAGCTTTAGTATTTCTTGATTTTATAAAAATTTTTTTTTTCCTCTAAAAAAGCAATTAACCAATATATTATGATGGTATTCTATAAGCAAAACATTTGTACAAGTGTGCTGATATGGGGCAATGTTAAGTGATGAATAATCACAAAACAGACATTAAAAAGATGATACATCAGGATTTCTCTGGGTTTGTTCTAAGGCTAGGATCTTATGCTTAGTCCTTACATAACACAAAGCAGAACCTGGAGAGTCTGCCTGCCAGTCATTTTGCAAAGATGAGTAAGATATAAAACATGGAAGATACCACAGTACAGTAATTATCATCATGGTAATAAAAGCATCTCAAAAGTAACAGCCTCTGAAAAGGTAATCTAAAGGCCATGAAGGTAGTACGCTATAATTTTTATTTGTGGTTACTTAAATTAAAACAATTTAATTGGCTAGAGAGGATCATAGTTGCAAAAATATTCAAATTGGTGCATATTATTAGCCTTTTTCTTTGGCTACAATTTTTTTGGTATCTGGGATCAAACTCACAACCTTGCACTTGCCAGACAGGTGCTTACGCCATTGAGCTACATCCCGGCTCTGCCTACAAATTTTTAATTGCTTTCTTTATATAAAGCACATTTTCTACTAAGGGAAACTTACCATTCCCAAACTCTCAGGCTCTTATCATCAGACGTACTCACAAATCTTCTGTTCTCATCAACAAAAACAATGGTGTTGACAGCTCCCAAATGTCGATCATACTCCTGAACAATTTCTCCACTTCGAATGTCCCACTGTACAGCAGACAAGGCATAAAAGCAACAGGTTTATAAAAGCCAATGAAGATGTTTTTCTGGAAAGTACAGGGAAAAGATCTAGAACTTTTTTTTATGAATTGACAACTTTTTATTAAGCACAGAATATCAGGAATCCCTAAAAGCAGCAAACATTAAATGAGTTAACATTCTGTGCTCCATTCCCCATTATAACACATAATCTTAATAAAAATAATGCAAAAAGACTCACCTGCACAATCTTTTTATCAGACATCCCAGCCACAAAGAGATTTTGTTTATCTTCATCAGGATTAAATTTGACACAATAGGGTACTTTTCGGTTTGTGAATCTTGATATACACTGTCCTAAAAATGAAGATTCAAATTAAATAAAATTAGACCACTTAGGGATAACGGTAGCCTTAAGATCTAGTGGTCATTTGTTTAATAAAATATAAGAGCATTTTACACTGTTTCTTTTCACAGATTTTTAATGATTAAAAATAATTTTTCAAAAGTTAATCTGTACTATCAAACGTTGAACAGGTAATTATAATTTCATTCATAACAGCAATACTTGACACAATAAAAAAGAGGCACAAACCCCATAAGTGACTCTCATATTAACTGAGCGAAAGAAGCAAGAAACAAAAGAGGAAATATGGTATGATTCTATCTATCAGAAGTCCAAAACAGGCAAAATGAACCAATCAGTAATGACAGAGTAGCTACTACAATCACAGGGAACAGACTGGAGAAGGGTATAAGAAACCATACTGAGGCACTAAACTGTTCTAGGTCTTGATCATTCGGTATTTAAAACAAATTCAAACATATGCTTATTAAAAAAGATTGCTGAATATTTATGAATTTTATACACTTTACATATACTATATTTTGATTTTAAAAAGAGCTTGGGGTGGGGGACTCAGCCTTGCTGTATACAAAATAACACTGCCCACAGCTTGGACCAAACACGTAAGGAACCCATCATAGTGACTCTCAAGCTCTTCAAATGATAGCTGTATGGTCAGAACTAAACACAGAACTGAGCGGCTACCGAGGTGAAAACACAGGCTTCAACACTGGGGACAGCGGTCTAAATGCAACTCTGCCTGTGACTCTGGAAAGTTACCTTTATGTCTTAGTTTCTTATCTATTATGTAATGATGGCACATCAATTACAGGAATAGATAAAGACTGAATGACACACTGCATATAAATGCCTTGCATAATGCCAGCTGGCAAACATTTAGTTACCTGTATTCCCATCACCCTTAAAATTCAGTATGATAAAAATAGTTTAGCCACAAAATATTAATGGAATCAATGTAGTTGCAAATGTGTAAAGCCAGCTGGCCCGTGAGAGTTCAGAACTACATTTTAAACCAATTTGAACAATTTAATTCTGCTCACTGAACACTGTGCTTCTATTAGGTGCAGTGTGTTTGCTTTATCAACTCTTATGCTGGGACAAAGTTTCACAGCAAAAGTTGCTGATGATATAGCTGAGTTTCAATTCTATAAACACATTTTGTGATATTAGTTGATAATAATGGGGTCAAAACCCAGCGTTAGAGATCATACCACTTTGCCACAGAAGGCCACTCATACTGTTCAAACCTAACTGCTCTCACTTTGCTTTTTATGATTGTGCTCTTACCTGTCTCAGTGTCCCAGAGCTTCAGATACCTGTCATAGGCTGCGCTGAGAAACTGGGTTCCTGCAGTGTTGAAGCAGATGTCCCTAACAGCTTTACTGTGACCTAAGGCAGAGTAAACAGAAATGGCAATGAAATCAAGTACTGCGTCTTCATAAACACCCTAAAGAGAAACAACATTCAAGAGTGGTCGCAAGGAAAGCTTAAGTAAGGATCACTGGAACCTTCTTTTAATTTACTGTTTCACAGTCTGTTATGTGTGGGTTGTGGGGTGTGGGTGGTTCTTTCCTGCAAGAAGTTCAAGTGATTCTGATGCATGCTTCAATAAGAATAAAAAGAAAAGGTCTGATTTTCAAAAAACTGTCATGTCAGTGTCTTACTACGGAGCACGGGTAAGCGGTGACTAAACAGCCAAGAATTTATAGAAACATAATAAACGAATTATTGCTAAGAAATGATGAGATTCACTTAGATTATTCAGCAGGCTAGAAGTGAAAACAAAGTCACCTAAAACTTATGTGCAGGAAACTATAGCCCTTGTTCAATAATTGTTTTATAATCATATTATCAATCTTTATAGAAACTGGTTTAAACTCTCAGAGACTATGTCTTTGGAAAATACTACCTTTTAAGGTGACATTTTGACAACTGACTAATTTTAAGATACTGATGATGCTTTCATTTGGAATCAATCTTGCCTGACCAATCAACGCTTTTGAATGTTACAAGTACAAACAAAAGCAAAAAGTTTACCACTTGCCACCGCCCCCACCATGATCAAGACACATACAAAATGCAAGTGGCACAAATTGTTGACCACAAGCAGCATGAACCATCAATGCCAACTCTGCCAAACTCTAGAAAGGCTGCACGGGCCATGGCAACGAAGCATTCTTTCCACAGTAAGGGGCCTGCAGAGCTGCCGTCATCCTCTAAGGAGAATTTCAACTTTCCACTGAAAAGTGCGCCACTATCCCGGAGACAGATGGGGACCAAACCCACTCTATCTGACAAAGACACTTTGTCCCCAGACACAGCCTTTCCATATGTCTTTCTTCAGTCTTCGTGACATCTTGGATAGTATTTATTCAACTGGAGGCCTAAAGTCTTAATGCACAGCTGAACAGACTCCCACTTTAATCTAAAAACAGAGCCACTATGACTTACAGTTTCACTATGGTGCAGTTAAATTGGGACAACTGGCCTTCGTATGAAATGACAGACAATAAACCTTTCTCGTGCGTCACACAGCTAACTTCCCGTTGGCCCTCTTCTTCAAGCTGTCTCAGTCTGATAGTTTTCTACCTCAGCTGCCAACTCTTAACCTGGTTTTAAAGCTCAACATCTGGCTGATGCTCACTGGAAATTTTCAGGTCCACACGCCCTGGCAGCTCAGGTGCACTGGGCCAGCCTCAGGACCCCTCCTGCCCCACAGGATCCTGCCCCACAGCGGTGGATCCGACACTCCTCCGTCCCCTCTGGAGTCTTCTTAGATGCCTACTTCTCATCATTCACCACCATCGCTGCATCCCTCTGACTCAACTCCGTCGCAGCTCTTTCCTTCTGTCTCTGTGCCTTTGGTTCAGATTCTCATGCCTTTTACTCCAAACAATGACACACTGTACAAGTCACTTCTTTTCTGCCTCTTTTCTTGCTCTATCCAGGTATTCTCCAGATTGCCACGCGGTCTTTGTAAACTTCCAATCATGCTACTTTGCTGTTTTGCCGAGTTGTTCAATGGCTCCTTGATGCCCTTAGGAAAGTCTCAATTCTAGGAATGCCATACATGACCCTCTGTCTTGTCCCCCTTCTATTACTTTCCTCCACTTTTCTCTCTTACCTGCGTCCCACAATTCTGCATTGTATGTGATTTCCCAAAGCAGCATGCTTTCTCATACTACTTTTTTTTTGTCTTTTTCATTTTTATTGATACCGGGGATTGAACTCACGACCGCCTGCTTGCAAGGCAGGTGCTTATGCCGCGGAGCTAAATCTCCAGCCCCATACTACTTTTGTAACTTTTTATTTTCAAGTTCTCTTTGTCCATGTGAGGAGACTTACTCCTCTTTTCAAGGTCAGCTCAAGTCTATAAACATTTTCCTCACTATCAGTACAGTAAAATTACTGTCTATAAAGTCACTTTACTTTAATAAGTTTTTCCAAACAGATTTATAGCCAAGGAAAAGACGTATTACCAATAAACGTTCGTAGACAGCGCCGGTCTCCATAAACCTCCCATAGCTGGAGAAAAAATAACATTTAAAAATTAGTTTTCGTGCAGGGGCTTAAACTCAGGGCATCACGCATGCTAAGCAACAACAGTCATGTGCTGAAGGTATGTCTGCGTATCTGTGTGTGTGCAGGAGAGTTGGTCAATAAACGTCGCGGAGTCCTGTCAGTTTGTGATTTACCACTTGGATACATGCATACATATAACACACCCTTACAACTGAAGAGTTTTAAAGACTTTGGCATCAAAAGTTGATCAAAGATATCTGTATTAAAATACCAAGATAACTATGTTTGGAGTTAATCCAGATGGGTTCATTTTCTTATTGTTCTTTTTCTATATTGTATATATTTTCTGTGCTAAAAAGTTTCTACTTTTATAATACTACAAACTACCTTTAAAAGGAATTAAACGCTATTAAAGCTGACATGTATATAATACTTTGATACTGAAAGGTTTTTTGGGGGGGTGTTTTTCTGAAGTAGCAAATGTTCTAGAAGAAAATAATTACCTAGATTAAAATAACAGGCTCATAATTCTAATCATTTCTAAAGTAGAGGAACATGAAGCTTCAAAGCTAGCTTTATTCTTGCCTACCTCAAATCCAATCCTTCACAATGTTGCTAGTGCTTGAAAATAGCCTTTCTTGGCCACCCAGGGCCAACTGGATACAGTCTCAGTCCCCGCTGCGTGCCAGGCAGGCCTCTGAGACCTGGTCTCTTGCCGAAGACTATAATCATTCTTTGTCTCTTAAATTTTATGCTCTAGCAACCACAAAACTGCTGTACTGTTCAGCGCATACCATGCTGATTCACTCTATTCACTCCTCCGAAATTCTATTCCTCTTCGTTTTACTTAACCCTCCTGAGGTATGCTTCCGTTTCGAAGCCAGAATACCTACACCTCTATACGAATCAATCATTTATATCAGAACGAAGTGATGGCTGCATGGGTAGGGACCGTACCTTCCTAATTCTTTATCTTCAGGCCTCTGTACCTAGTAAGCTTCTAACAATGTTTACAGGGATGAACTAAATTGAATTCTATGCTTTTTTGGTCAAAGAGAAGATCATATTATGGAGTAATATAAAGTGAAAGTTAAAGGAAACAACAATTCTTTGCTATAAACTTTAATTAGAGACAAACCGAGACACTTTCTATTAGAGACAAATATCTAAATGGCTGCTGTCATCAAAAGACGTTGCCTTTATATATTGTTAATGATCATAAATTATTTAAAAATAATACAACTAATGATTCAATCTTTCAAGCTATAAAAGCACTAAAATGATTTGGACACAATGAAGACATAATAAGAATTATCTTTTCAGATTTGAGCTCTTTTTTTCAAAGTTTTCCACATATTCGAGTTGACATGCATTGGGGTTTGGTTTTGTTTTGTTTTGTTTTAATCACGCTAAATAGCTCAGCAGGAGACAGAGGTGGAGTTTCTTGAGGCTATGCAAAGTGGGAGCAGGAACGGGAACATTTCTGCTCTCAGAAGTCTACTAAGTATTTGGAAGGAAAAGGATGAATTACACTGCCTACTTTCAAAAACTGGGATTTCTATCACAATCTCTCTACTGCCTATGCATCAGTCACATACCCAAAATCTCTATAAAAAATGCATGATTTGTGATTAAGTATTTATGTGTCTAGTGCCAAGGTGATTGGATTACATTCTCAACAGTTGCCCAAGCTTCAAAGAGCCTCACCAACTGGATCACATTTGAATCTACAAGTCTGGAAAACAGTTCAGCAATTCATAGCATCTAAGAGAAAATAATTAGCCTTTAATTGCCTAACACACCCAAATATATTTATAAATAATGGAACAGATTTAACAAAAGCAATAGCTTTGCAGCACAGTACTCTCCTTCTGTGGCGGAAACTCACCTTAATTTTACAGTCCATGGAACAAGACAGCAATAAATGGCCAGAGAGGGGAAACAATCTTACTGCGCTGACACCCTGTGAAAGAGCATTAGTTACCAATCTGAAGAACTTCAAATAATAGCTAGAAATGTAGGAACAGAAAAACAGTGTATTTTAAGCAACCAAATTTGCTATTTTCCAAACATCATGGGTCCAGAGTAATCTTCTGGTATTATAGACACTGAGCTTTTGAACATTTTAATTTTAACCTTGAATATGACTTCTTCACCCAAGGCAGACCAGAGTCAATCAAACCACTAATGCCCCCATTTTTTTCTTACATAATCCCTTTGCTCTTTGTGAAAAGCTGAAAAATAACAGTTAAAATAGTAGAGATGACAAAGAATACCAGAATCAAATGTTTTGATGTCTACATTAATTTAAATAGTACCTTGGATTATAAACCAGGAGCACTATCTCTGAAATGTGATAATCCCATGAACCACATATCATCGCTGAAGCTAAGCAAGAGACCAGAGGCTAGCAACAACCCATCACCTGCTGACTTGGTGCCCATGTGAAGGCAGACTGTGGCAGCTCCTTGTGGGGAAAGGACTGGGCTACAGTAAAGCAGCTGATGGCAGTCAGGGTCAGCCCAAGGGGCCTTGGAGACGGACTGGCTAACTGACTGACACAAATATCTATCTCAAAGCCTTGTCACTGAGGTTACCTATAATCTGACTTCCCTGATTTGTCTTGATATCTCTACATCTTTATCAGAAATATTGTTCTCATCAACAGCTGAAACTCAACACTGGCTTCCCTGTTACAACATTACCATAAGCAGAAATAACCAATTTGCTTACCTTTGTGTGTCCAGACCACACATGAATTTGTTTTTTGGGAAGATAACATTTTTCAGGTGGTACAGAAGACCGTAGATTAACACCAACATCTTGAGGTATGTGGAGATAGGACCTGCCTTGATAGTCATACATTTCTTTAACTGAAACAAAAAAGAGAAAGAAAGCAATAAACAAATATAAGCATAGTCATGAAATCTGTATCTTAAAAATGCAAACAAACTGTTTCACTCATGGGGCTATGTCTATATGAAGTAGGTAGCAACATTCTTATGATGGTGTCAAGACTGAGTTAGCTAAAATCTAGCTGCCTGAAATACGTGCCATCATTTACAATTAGAGGTAGGATTCTGGAGTTCCTAAATACTCAGACAGTATCAGACCTTTAGATAAGATAATGCTTTTTCCACTCAGTCACACATTTTAGTGATACAATAAAGACCTCACTGCAGTATAATTACAGTGAGGTAACAAAAGATAGTATTTGGGTCCTGGATGAGTCACTAGTAAAGAAACACAAATAAAAGAAGGAAGTTAAAAAACCAAAACACTGCCCTTTTCTCCACTTTTAGTCCCTCCTGGTTCCCCTGCATCCCTCCTTCCCACGTCTCCTTTCCTCTTTTCTGTCTGGCACCGGGCCTGAACCCAGGGCTGACTGCACCCAGGGCCTTCAGACCAACTACATGCTGAGTCCATTTCTTATTTTGAGAAAGGGTTTAAGTTGTTAAATTGACCAGGGTGGGTTCATATTTGTGACCGTTGCCTTAGTGTTCTAGAGTATCAGGATTACAGGGCGATGACCTCAGGCCCGGGTAACAGTCACGGATACAGATGACATACTTACCAGCATGCTCGGCACAGACTGGGTACGTAATAAAGACTTTCTGTTACTGCTATTGTGGCTGCAAGCACCACAGTACTAAACAAACTCCTTGAACATAAAAACGAAGCTTGAGAACCACGTATAGCCTCCTGCAATCTAAATATCTGATCATCTACAGATAAAAACTCTCTATAATGAATGTGATCATTATACATACCTAGATTATACCAATAAAATTAAGTAAACTTAAAAAACAGAATTAAAGGTTTAGGAATAAACCCATAAAATAGTAAGTAACACTGTCATTGTTGAATTACTCTTTACAGTTTTTGATAATCACTGTGTAATTCCCGTGTGGCTAATTATTGGTAAGTAAGCATGTATGTATTTTTTTCCATAAATCAAAATAGGAGAGAAGCAACCTTCAATTTACTTACATGAAAAACAAAGTTTGTTCTTTTAAAATTTAAGTTAGTAATAGTTACAAACTGTGATAGTAACTGAATATTTGGCTTTGGTTCAGGTAAGTGACTGAAGCATTATTAATATAACAAAAGACTCAATTTTATCTTAGGAAAGGACAGATTACAGATCATTTAAATTTCTTCTTTATGACTTTTAAAAAACTCAGTAGCACTTCAAAAAGAATTAGCTGTAGCAAACATTAATCATGCTACTTTTTCCAGTAGGAAGAAGACTCTGCTGTGGGACTTCTTTGGATACAAACTGTTCAACACAGTTACACTGAATACAATGATTTTAAAGCAACTGACAGTAAGGACAGTTGGTGTTATATGAGCAGAAAACAGTGAAATTTTCATGAAAATGAAGGAACAGTAAAACTAGATTACCATGTAAGATTGTCTTCTCCTCCCCAGGCTTCTCTTCTTCTTGTTTGCCTTTTTTCTGCCTCTTTGCTGTGATTTCATCCAATTCTTTTTGTTCTTCCTAAGGAAATGGAAGCGTGAATTTAAAAATGAATGTCTGAGAACCTCATCATGTCCAAAGCTGGTTATAAATTCTTTATAATGAAGTCTATCTACATCTTTGTGAAGCAAAAGCTACAAGTATGTTTCCCAAGACAACAAGCTCAACTCTTCCACAGAGGAAGATGATTACCTCTTCTGCCGGTTACAAAAAGGTATTAAACACATCATGGGACCAGTACATGGCCAAAGAGACAGGGGAGCATGAAGGTGGGGAGGGGAAAAATTCTGTAGTTTTACTTTATAGACCTTATAATATTATTAAAAACATAAAGATAAAATTTAAGATTTTAAAATAAATTACTAAGTGAGATCCATCAGTCTGATAAAAAGCCTGATTCTCTAGTTATTTGAATGTCTGGTTTCAGAAGAATAGCAACCATGCTTAAAAGCATTATTAACATGATTTTTATTAAAAGTTGTTCAATATTCTATTTTAATTAAAAAGTATAGTATAAAGTAAAGCAGAAAAAAGAGAAGTATCAATATTGTAGGCAAATGAAATTTTATTGTGTTTTCTCAATCAATGAAGACAGAAATTTTGATGAGTCATTTGGTTCTCTAAGGAAATCTCAAGTTTATTAATAGACATACACTTCACAGACACCTAGTGCATACCTGAACTGAAAATAAAAAACATCACAGCTTACCTCTGAAGGTTTGGCTACATCCTTTTCATCCACATATTTTGCCCATGGCCCCAAGAAACCATCAATATTAGATGCATCATTTTCTTTGAACTTTTTCCTTTTTTCTGTTTTCTTCTGACCAGTTTCAAATACAGTTAAACCTGTATTAACAATATCACAAAGAAATGAAAAATATACCTATAGTTGAAGAAAGGTGATTAAGTGACCAAAAACAAAAATAAAATCAATGAATTTGCTGATATACCAAGCCGTACTGCACAGAAAGGTTTTTAACCTTCTAAGGGAGGAAGCATCACTGCATCACTACATTACTGAGGATTTTAATATATTAAACAAAGATATGTAATCCCACAATGATTCATAGCCTCTTTAATGAATCAAAAGCCTGTGCCAGGTGATTTTCGACAGTTTTGAAAGAAATTCAGCAACTCAATATTGTTAAATAATATCTTTGAAACCAAGAATAAACTATAGTCATTTAAAAATGGAGTTACAGTAAATACTTATGTTTACTTCCCATGTAATTCATCAATATAAATTAAACAAGATTTCGTAAGAATCTTGAATTTCTTTTACATAGTCAGAATCTAAACTTGAACTCTAAGATCGTCAGTTTTTACAGTAAAAAGAAATGAGGAGGAAGTCTCTGAGTTTTGTTTTGATCTAAAGGAGGCGCACTCTGTGAAGAGCCATTAAACTGGAAAAATGAAGGTTTATAGAAGTCATAATCAAAAGTTAAGGATGTACTTACATACACAATAGCTCAAAGATATCTAACTTAAAGGAAAAAGATCTATTTAATTCAAACCAGTTTCCTTTAGATTGTATGTTAAAACTGAAGCATACTAAAATTCTATTTTAACAAGAATCTAGCTCATCCACAATAGGCAGTTCGATCATCTGTCTTAATAAGCAGAAATGTTCCTAGGCAACTAGCACATTCTTTTTTAAAAGTGATTTTTAAAGCAAATTCCAATGGTCTGATAAGTTTTGTAACATGTTAGCATATAGTACAATGCTTTGTTTTATAACAGTAAGTATACAGTGACTATGAACACAAATGTTATTTTAGAACATACTCAAATTTAGTCATCAAATGACCCTTCAAAGACAACTGTCATAGATGCACAAAGTAAAATTTTTCTGCTCTATAAAAATGCAACTTGCTATCTTGATAGGAATGAGAAAATCACTGCCCAAATTATTTATCCCCTAAATTGTTACTTACTCAGTGATTGCCATAGGCCGGGCAGGGTGCGGAGTACTCCACAGAGGTATGTGCCTCCACTTTTACAAGACAGCACTGCCAGTAAGAGGCAAATGCGAGTTCTAAACGATAACAGTTCTAAACCATATTGCTCTGGACTGTACCACTCTACTGTCAGTTTTTAAAAATTGAGGACTCAATAAAATACTAGATGTGCAAGTCATTAAAAGTCAGCAATTATATATATATATATATATGAGATATATTTAAAATAAATTACCTTACTGGGATGGGGAAAAAAATAAAATAAATTACCTTGATTTTTTTCAGCTTCTTCTACAGAACCAATGTATTTAGCAGACACTTGATGATTATCTAACGACGGATCCAATGCATAGCCTGTAGGAAATAAGTACAAATTACCGATACCATTTTACCATGTATCATTCATTTCATTACTATACAAATATATCCACTTCACATTTTCCTCCTGAGGTATTAACAATAGTTTCCTTAAGGACTAATCCTTTTTTCCTGAGCTATATTTCTATTAAAAATAATTAATCCTAATCTCAGGGTGGACCATGAACGACTTCAGCAGAAAAAGAAGCATCTTACACGATGAATCCACCATGCTGATATTATATTACTAACGGCCTTTCTGACCATGAAACCAAACTTTAGTTTCAAATATTCTAACAGCCTAAAAAATACATATACATCATGTATTAAGAAGTTTAGAAGCTATTCTTTATGCTTTTTAGTAATGGATATTGTAGGACTGAGTTTATTAAGTTATATAAACTATTAAAAAAGAAACTGTAAGAAGATTATATAAACTCTAGCTACTGTTTTGAAAAATGCCATTTTCAGTAAGCACAGTTTTCCTTCTAACCTTAATATTTGGACTTCATAAATTACTCTTTATTCATATTTCCTTAGTAAAAAAAGTAAGAGTATTTCCTTAGTAAGAAAAGTACATGAATACTTTCAACTGCCTATAGGGTATTTAGCTGCACATAAATGTTGTCTTAGTGGTCTAGGGAAACTTAAGGAAAGTCTACATAAGCAAATTCAGTCTTTTATCAAGTGGATATGTTTTGTATACTAAGTTTTCATAATTACCCTCATAAAAAGGTGCTAGGTTGTTGATAAATCTATGGCCTACAACTTATTTATGTAAACAATAATGCAATACATAAAACATACTAATCCATTTTTATGAAAGAGAACATCGTAGGGGATATGTTAATATTTTTATTTTTTAGCAAGCGTAAAGGGAGTTTCTTTTGGAAACAAAAAAAAAGATTTGTCGGTGAAACATTTTTAAAAAAGCCAAGGATGCAGGTGCTCAACTCACCCTTATGATATCAAGAATACAATCAACCACCTGGCTATTAGTTCATTTGCTCATACTTTTTTTCAGCATTAAAATATGTTCTTAGCCAGAGGAGAGAGCTTGATGGCGGAAAAAGAGCTTTGGAGTAGAATCTCTGAAATCACAGGTTCAAATCCTATGAGTTATTTTAGCTTTCAATTCTTTGAGGTACAGAATAGTGTTCTGTACATGATTTTTCTTAATGTGACATTAAGGAGGTTCATATAAAATTTAGTTCAACATATCATGAGTTAAAAATTCCTATCTTAAACATTCTACTTTGAAGGATTTCTGTGAAGTGCTTTTGTGTGATGCTTGGACAAGGGAAGAGGGAAAGGCTGTCTTTGGTCCGTCGTCTCTGTGCAGGCACCGATCCACCCATCTAGCCACAGCCGTGTTCCTGAGGAAGGGAACTCGTGCTTCTCTCTTGATCCACATCTTCTGGGCTGAAGTCTCACTGCCACTCGCACTAACTCTGCCCCAGGTAACTAGTGGACAACATTAGTTTCCTTTCAGGAACAAAGGGAATCACTTAGTCGTATATTCTACTACAAATCAGTCAGTGATAGAGTAAGATCCAGCTCTAACACTACAGAAGTTCAGCCCAGCTAGTTTTCTGCCCTCCTACTCACAAATAAGTGAATATACCTCCACTGTAATTCTTAAACACACACATCTATCTTTTAAAGCTTATCTTCCATTTTACCTTTTCAATGGAGTTAACGTCTACTTTCTTCCTTTTGGTAGCTGTATGTGACAGGACTACTATACCAATTTTGTTACTATACCCTTAAGATTACCAGTAGTAACATTCTAAATAATAAGCAATTTGCAAAGGAATATTGTAAACATGGAGAAAAGTCTTCAGCCTCATTAGTCCAGAAAAATCAAACTGAAATAAAGAAATATAGCATTTCAATTATCAAATAAACAAAGGAAAAACTATCACATGGATCTTTGCTAAAGAGAAAGAGAATGTTCATACATGAGGTGGTTGAGTAAGTCAGGAGAATTCTTTTGGAAAGCAATTTAATAATATATAATAAAGGCTTTAACACATTACTTGGGGAATTCATTTAAGAAAAAACCATGTTAAGTATTGTACATTAAAAAATTAACTACTGCATCTCACTTTAAAAGTCATTCTACTGTATTATAATATATGCATCACATTTTCAAATGTGCAAACTGGAACTGACTTGAAATCTAATGATACAAGAAATTCTCACATGAACTTTCGCAACATTTTTAACATTAAAAAATGTTAATATGTGGTTTCTAATACTGAAGTTAACATTCATGTTAATAACGGCCATGGTGAGTCTAAAGTTATTTATTTAAAATTCTGTTTTCCACTTCTGCAGACCAGTGTAGAGAAAATTTAGAGAGAATGTGGAGATCACATTGAGAAGCCCGGTACCATGAGCAGAGAGACCAGGAACTCGGGGTGAAAAGGGAAAATGGAGAACAACAGAAGTCATGTAAATTTCTGAGGGGTGAAGACTCAAGAGAAATACCATATATAGGAGCCAAAAGCCAAAGTACAGAGTGAGTAAATGAGAGTAACTTCACTGATAAGAACTGTGCAGGTTGACTCCACAATAAACTACATGTATTATAGAATATAAATGTTCCAGAAATCACTCCTGATATCATAAGTTACATTAAAACATGAGTATAAAAACAGTATCGATGTTTGTTCTATATGCCAGCAGTGGTATCGCAGAGTTACATAAATAAAATGAATTCATCTGTCACCTCCTTAGTATGTCGCATAGATACAAAGATGAGAAAGTGGCACGTAAAACTCACACTTCTAGTAAGCCTCACAGTTGAATTATTTAAATCTTAACATAACCTTACCGTATGTGACAAAAGTTCTTCTTTGCTGTTCAAACATGAAATCATTGATATGAGCTGGTTCGGCATATCCAGAAAGCATATTTCTAGGAGCAGCCATTTGCTGTGTTCTAAAGGGATTTTCTGGTCCAAACTGCAATATTATGAGAAAAAAAAAAAAAAAAAAGCAAAGAAAAACATAAAGAAAAGCATAAGTTGAATATATAAAAGCCAGAATCAATGAAACTATTACATAATGTATTTTCAATTCTAAATCAAGGGCTATTAACCTATTTAGGAACATACTAATTTTACACAGTATAGTGCAATAATTAAAAAAAAATGATTCTCCTGCACTAGATTATAAGTTCCTTAAAGGGAAGACACAAAATCTATATTTACACCACAGTGCCTGGCATAGAGAGAGTATTAATGAAGGAAAGATCAATCAGAATCCCAGCAGGGAAACAGGCTAGAAAAATAGACAAAAAAATTACATACTTGAAAAAAAATCCCTAGAAAAGAACATCACAGATGTAAATAAAATTTTCCTACTTTGAATAGTCATATTGTGGGAGGCCATTATTATTTATTTGTTTATAATGCTCTTGTCTACGGCCATACACCCTGAACGCGCCAGATCTCATCTGTTTATAATGCTCTGAATTTCCAGAATGATTTTCCAAATATTTGATTTGTTTAAACATCCTGCTAAGTTTAGATATATTCTTCTCAAGCCACAAATGAAGTACAAAGGCAAAGACGATGCCTTATACCGACAGCCAACATTTTAATTGGTAAAGCTGAACTAGAACTCACAATATCATAACAATCACAGCTTCCAACTTCTTGTAAAAATAAATGGGTTAAAAACTACCAAAACACATTATTATTATTATTAAAGTGTTAATTTAATGCCATTATAAAAATATTTGGAAAATCCAAGTTTTTTTTTTGTTTTTAAATGTAATTAAAAATGAGTCCCACTTTGGATACAGTGAATGTAAAAAAGTATTTGTTATCTGAACCTGGGGAGTCCCACTCTCCTGATGAAATATTTTGACATTAGTACATCTCTAGTCAATAAACCATCTTTCATATTATATATTTATAGAGCCACAAATACAAATTATTTATCTTTCCTTAATCAGTATGCTTTTTTTTTTTTTTTAATCAGTTTTAGCTTTAAGTTCACCTTGTCTGCAAATAGGATCGCTATCCTGTTTTTTTCTGGGGTTCTGAAACATGAAATATTGTTTTTTATCCTTTGATTTCAGCCTGTGAATTTCTTTTTGAGTTGAATGTGTTTCACGTATCAGCATACTGTAGCTCTTGTTTCTTGATCCATTCGGTCATTCTGTCTCTCTGTTTTTGTGGTGCTGGGGATTGAACCCAGGACCTTGCACATGGAAGGCAGGAACTCTGCCACTCCACCCAGCCAGCCAGTTTCTTCTGACTGAAGAATTCAGACCATTTGCATTGACAGTTGATGTGTACTGACTTATTCTTGTCATTTTATTTTCCTGTTGTTGGTTCTCTGTCTTTCTCCTCTCTTTAACTGGCTGTCTTGCCTGGTAGATACTTTCTATTGGCATTTTTGGGATTACAGTCTTATTTCTTTCTTTCTAAAATATCCTTCAACATTTTAGAGGCAAGGCTTGAAGGTCACTACATACTTGCTAAGGGAAACTCCAAGATGAAAAGATAACAGTCATAAATATATAAGCACCAAATCAGATGCACCCAACTATATAAAACAAGTATTAATGGACATCAAAAATCAAATAGACATTAACACAACTGTAATGGGAGACTGTCACAAATAGAGGAATCAGACAAAAAAAATCAACAAAGAAATATCAAAACTGAACCAAACCTGTAACTAAATTGACTTGGTAGATGTCTACAGTGTTCTAACCCACAACTTCAGAGTACACACCCTTCTCAGCACATGGATATTCTCCAACAGACTATCTACCAGTCCACGCAACATGCTTAAGTAAATGCAAAGGGATTACAATTATCCCATGAATATTACTGGACCATAGTGCAATGAAACTTGAAATCAATGGCAAAAGAAACCACAAAAACTACATAAACACATGGAAACTAAATAATCTATGGAACAACCAATGGGTCACAGATGAAACTGGAGAAGTACTTAAATGATATATATCTACAATTAAATAATGCTGATCCAACACACTGGAACATGTAGAAGGTAATCCTAAGAGAGAAATTCATAGTGGTGAATGCCTGTATCAGAAAAACAGAATGAGTGCAAATAAAGAACCTAATGCTGAACCTCAAACTTATAGAAAAGTGCATCCCAAAGTTTGTACAAAATTAAAGAGCAGAAATCAATGCATTTGAGACTAAGAAAACAATAAAAAGAGGCCCTGAAGAGTTGATTCTTTGAAGATTAAATAAAATTGATAAACTCTTAGCTAACTGTATCAGAAAAAGGGAAGAAAAGACTCAAATTCATGGAATTAGGAACGAAAGGGTGAAATCCTAACAGATTCACTGGAAATTCAGAAGATCATCAATATATTTTGAGAATTTTAATACAATGGAAAACACAGAAGAAATGGACAGATTCCTAGATACATATGAATTACCAGAGTTGACTCAAGAGGATATAAAAATTCGAAATAACCCAATATGAGTCAATGAAATTAAAAATTTACTAACAACAAAGAAAGTCCAGGTCCTGATGAATTCTACAACAAATTTATAGAAGATTTAATGCCATTATTATTCCTCAAACTCTTTAATGAAATTGAAAGGGAAGCAAGACTCCTCAAGTCATTCCTGGAAGCAATACTTGGTATCAGACACTCTTGTAAATATTGTGTTGTCTCGCTATGAGAAACTAAAAGTATAAATAAGAACCAAAATGAATAATAGATACTATGAAATAGGAAGAAATTGTTCAAAAGGAAAGGGGAAGTAGGGTGGAGGCAGGACGATAGGAAGGAAGGGAAAAGAAAATGAGAAAAGAAGGAAAAAATGGGGTCCAGGAGGTTCGCTCAGCGGCACAAGCGCCTGCCTACCAAGTACGTGCAAGGTCATGAGTTCGATCCTCAGCACACACAACAAAATAAAAAAAATGGAAACAAAGCTTAGTAAGTAAAGGAGAGGGGGAGTTAGTGGGGGAAAAAAGGTACTAAGATATATCATATACAGGTACAAATTCCCTTTAGTAAATAAGTGTAGGGAGCCATGGAAGCTGGAGGTTGATCACATGTGTGTGACTAAAGCAAGCAAGCCCAGAAAAAAGAGACCAAAACAAGCCATGTAAACAAGGTGGCCCAGCACCAAGAAGGCAGGGCCCCAGGCCTGCCAGGCAAGGGGCTGCTGGCCGAGGCGCTGAGACTCACATCACCCTGCCCAGTGTATAAGTCAAGGTGCTCCAGGGTGAGCAGTTCCTTTCCTCCCCTCAGGGGAAGGGCTCCACCGCCCCCAGCTTTGTCTTTTTAAAATTTTTCTCATCCTCTCCGGTCCTTAAGCCCAGGAACCTCAGGAGCTACACTGGGTAGTGGCAAATATGCTCATTATGTGTTATCTAAATGGTACCAATAAACTCCATAACAAAAAAATTAAAATCTACAGTGCTCTTATTGTTATTCCCAGTTATATATACTTCCAATATATTTCCAATCTCTGTGTTTACAGGTAATTGTCCATTTTGAAAGGAGACTATGATCCCCATAGTCTTATTTTATTATTAACATTTCCTAAAAATGGAATAATTCCTCAACAGGCTGTACATATCATGCATTTAAAAAGAAAAAATTCTCAGTGTTAAAGACTGCACTTTCTATACAAATATAGATCCATATATTAAACCTAAGTGTATTTTACGCTTAGTGAGATACCTAAAGCAATCTTAAAATTTAAATGTGCTTATGTTTTACTTATATTTGAGCTGAGACAACAAAAAGAAACCTTCTAATGCTACAGAATGCTAGGTGGGAGAAGGGTCCATCCATTTCAGGCTCATCTTACCTGCATTGCTACTGGCAGTTATTGGGCCTAATTTCAAAGACATTTATGACAACAGAGAGAGGTGTGACCAATTTGGGACTCAGATCTTCCCAAATACTCAAAAAATGTCCTGATCTCTGTGACCATGCAACTGTGTTAGTGTTGGGGGCTGAAGAACAAAACAAAGTATATAAATGATACACGAAACTGATTTCCAAATATTTCTTTTCAAGTTTTAGTAGCTAAGTTTGAGTTAATTTGAGTCTAAGTGTTTTATAATAATAGATATGAGTATATAACATCTATATATGACTATACATTCATAAATACATATTTATAATATATTTAAGGTATGTTTAGATAACATATTTAAGGTATGTTAAAGGTTTTAGCTAAAATGATTTTGAAGTAAACTATAGTCAATTACAACAGTAATGTCCCTATATAAAATACATATATGTAAGGGAGAAAATATTTGTAAACTATCTATCTGATTAGGGATTGATATCCAAAATATATAAGGAATTCAAACAATTTAATAGCATGAAACAAACAAATAAACTGACTAAAAATAGGCAAAGGATCTGAATAGAAATTTCCGCAAAAGAAAATCCAGCAATAGAATATGTAAAAATGTGCAGCATCAAAATGAGATTATCATCTTACACCTGTTAGAATAATCACAAGTAAAAAGAATAAAGAGTATCAAGTGTTGGCAAAGACGTGGTGAAAGGGAGCCCTTGTGTATTGTTGGCAGGAATGTAGTTCAGACACTGGGCAACACTGCATGGAGGGTCTTCAAAAAATTGAAAGCAGAACAATCATACCTAGAAATTCTATTTCTAGAAGTAGATCCAAAAGAAATGATAGCAGTATGTCAAAGAGGTATCTGTACTCTCATACTCATTGTGTAATTATTTACAGCAGCCAAGATACGGACTCAATCTAAACTCATCGTTCCTAACAGATGAATGGCTAAAGAAAATGTCTCTTTCTCTGTCTCTCTTCCCTTCCTCAGCCTCAAATCCTATCATCCGTGATAACAAAGACAAACCTTGAGCACAGTGTGTCAGTCAGGCACAGGAAAACACTGTGTGCCTTCACTTCTATCTGCAACGGAAAAAGGTTCAAGAAGCAGAAAACAGAAAGATGGCTGGCAAGAGTGGCAGTATGGAAGGGTGACAGGCAAACTGGGTCACAGCACACAATTTCTGCTAGAGACAAGTTCAAAAATTTATTGTGCAAATACAGTGACTACAGGTAACAACAATGTACTGACTGCTTGAAAATTGCTAAAAGGTCTCAAGTATTCTGACTATAGGTATGCTGACTATGAAGTTCTGTACGTGAATTAGCTTGACTTATTCATTCTACAATGTACACGCGTTTCAAAGATTTCACACAGTTATTAACATGTGCAGTTATCTGTCAATTTAAACAAGTAAGAAAAACATACTGATTCAGTTCATTACAAAACAAAAGATGTACACATTACACACCAAGAGAGTTAAGCATCCTCACAGTTTTCAACTGCATGAAGTAGGGATTTACTCAGAGTTAAGAGAAATCCATTTTTAATTTGTTTTTATTTTTTGTGGTACCGGGGATTGAACTCATGACCTCGCGCTTGCTTACGCCACTGAGCTAAATCCCCAGCCATTTTTAATTTGTTAAGATGCTGGCAGATCGGGCTGAGGATTTAGCTCAGCGGCATAAGCGTCTGCCTTGCAAGCAGGCAGTTGTGAGTTCGATCCCTGGTACCGGTAAAAAGAAAAAAGCCAAAAAAAAGATGCTGGTAGATAACATCAAAAGATGTGGTATTATAAGGATACGGTTCTCAAAAGTTTTCACTGGACAAAATACTTGAGAATCACTATCTTAGCAGTATATGATAGGAAGTAATAAAATATATACTAGTGCAAGTGTACTATATGAAACTATAACCATAGGTTCACTTAAGGAAAAAGTCAAATTATAGATTTTAGTTAAAATTTTCATTAATATTTATAGTAGCCATCAATGCTGAAAAATTTATATATAAATTTAAGGTCAGAAGAATCTACTAACTGAATTATTTTCTACAAATAAGGCAAACATCTTCCAAATTCAATTTTATTACTCGAATAATCTTGCAAGACATAAGGAAAGTTTAAATATTACTCGTGTAAGAAAATGTCAGTAGTGCTGATTCTATAACTTTGGGCCTCAGTTTATAAAATAAATGCTTTATTTTGTAGGACTTTTGAAGTTCATTCTAGCATTCATATTTGTAGTAATCCTACTAGTTCAATTTTTAACAGTAACAAATATTTTTCACTTAAATTTTACATTTTTACTCTAAAAGTACTATTAGTTTAAGGAATTCGGAATATTTCCCAAGACCTAAGGGCTTCATATGAATTTAGAAACACTAATAAGCACACTTTTCTCCATGTAAATTTGAAAAGAATTGAGTGAAATGAAAACCACCAGAGTAAAGGGTTGTTATGTCTTCTAGTTCTATCTATAATTTGAGAAAACTCATCTGAGTAAAACAGGTAGATGCTTTGGAAGTCCTTGGTTGGAAAAGGGAACAATATTTTACAAAATAAGCTAATTTGTAGAACTAGCAAAGTCAAAGGTGTAAGTGTGCGCTCTGCAAATTCCACAGTGGTCTTGAAACTGGTCTTTGAGCGATAGAGATGACTCCAAACTCTCAAAACATCACTGTGGGCAGTATAACTGTGAGAGTTGGTTTCCTCAATATAAATTAGGGATAAAAGTATCTATTTCAAAGGGTTGTAGTGAGAAGAAAAGCCATGTTAACGCCTCCACATGGTACCTGGCATACAGTAATAAACAACAGTTTTAACTTACTAGACTACCTGGGCTCTCTTCTTTCCTGCAAACCCTTACTGGAAATTCAGTTTGCTTGCACCACTGGAAGAACTTCAGAAATCTACAAGACTAAACTCTTCACCTTGGTTCCCAAACTGCCTGGGCGTACAGAGCACCCTCTGGTCTCATCTCCTGATTCACCTCTGTCAGGACGGAGGCACCCTGTTCTTCAGGCTTCCTATGATTTCCCCAGAGCTGTTCCTTTCTGCCTATAATCTGTCTTCATAAAAGCCTACTCAGTCACTAATATCAACAATACAAACTACCTACTGTGTGCCACAGTCTCCTAATACAACACGCACTATCTCATTTATCCTTAAAACTCAGTAAAGTAGAATTTTTTTATTTTTACATTTGAGAAAACTAACAATATCCAAGATCACATGAGAGCTATTATGGAAGTTGTCTAACTCTAAATCTCACGTTCTTCATCTGGATTGTCAACCCATTTCAAATACTGCTACTTCTTTCAGATGACTTCTGCTTCTCTTTACAATTTCATATAGAAACTTTCCATAAACTTGAATATTACCGTAGAGGCATCATAAGAAATAGTCTAGTCTCTTATCTTAGCATATCCTTTCTGACAAACACTACCTTCAAGAGAGGGGTTATATCTTGTTTTTAATAGTGGATCCTCAAAACACAGTAACTTGAATTTATAATCTAGCCAAACTGCTCATGAAAGTTGCTTTTCAGATTTTTGCCAGGTGATTCAGATTCTAGTTATAAAACACAGTTTATAATGTATTATATCACAGATAACTGATTCATCTGGCAACCAGGAAAATTATAATCTTGCTTCTCTTTTACATCTCATCACTCCTTTTTAAAATTGTTAGTAACTATGAAACTGTTCCTAACACAAACTTTGTGCATATAAGGTGAGGCTCATTAACAGGAGAAAAAGAACAATAGAATACTAAAAGACTGACTATAGAGAATGGCAGTCCTACTGCCTCATCAATATCACCACAAAAATTTTAACTTTTGAATTTTTCTTGAGAGTTGTAAAAGTTATAACAGTAGTATTCTAGTTACATAGAAACTTTCAAAATTTAAGAACAGATTTCATGGGGGGTTGGGGATTTAGCTCAGTGGTATAAGCACCTGCCTGGCGAGCGTGAGGTTGTGGGTTCAATCCCAGGTAACAACAACAACAACAAAAGAATAGATTTTATGGAAAGTAAGTTGCTATCAAAGAATGTTATACTACAGAATTTAAAATCTTCCTATCTTCTGAATTCAGTAGCTCTGCTAAGGCTATGCTGCACAGTTTAAGGGCCAACTCTTTTTTTTTTTTTTGGTACCAGGGATTGAACTCATGACCTCGCACTGACCAGGCAGGTGCTCATACCTCTGAGCTGAATTCCCAGCCCCTAAGGGCCAACTCTTAAGTGACTACTGAAACCTAGGCAGGACAAGTATAAGGCATAGCTCTAAGGTTCTGATATATCATAAAAAGGATAATTACTATGTCCTACAAAATGAAAAATACTGAAAAAGACCTCATTTCTCAACAAAATACAGAAAGATATAGCTCCTCACATGGATCACTAATGTGCTCCTTAAAGATCCTGCTTTTATTTATTTTTGGTCTATAATTATCTTTTCTCCTTTTTTTAAGACAGGGTCTTGCTATGTAGTTCAGTCTGGCCTCGAACTCACAATCCTCCTACCCCAGCTTCCCGACTGCTGGGATTGCTGGGCTGCGGCACCACGCTCAGCTCTATGATTACCCTTCGTCTCTTTTTTCATGAATCAAGTAGTTTCCAAATGTAATACCTCGAAATGTAAGTTTTCTACAAACTTTCCCAAATGAACAATATTCAAAGGTCTTTCCTGTGTAGTGTAGCACAGGCTTGAACTCTCAGGATCCTCCTGTCTTGGTTTGCAGGGTGCTGGCTTTACAGATTTGTGCTACCACATTCAACTCAAAAATATACCTTAAATGCCAGTAGAAATAGTTTCTGCTTCCTACCCCATTTAAAAATTTCTTCTATCACATCTATTACCAAGAAAAAAGGATACTGTACTTTATTACACTCAGAGCATTGACTATTTTCAAGTACTATGTATGTATAACATTAAATACCGTGTTAGTATTTGTTATTAAATGTTTCATAATATATTTTGTATTGATGCTAATAAAATTTTTTTCTTTACAATTATAATATTCTGTTAATGCTGAGAGGAAGGTATCAAACAAGTTTACATCTAAGAATCAGATTATTTTCAAATTTCATTTTTCTGAAGACAGTTCCATATTACTAGACATTTGAATGTGTATCGATAAGCAGTTAGTATATTTTTAAAATATTCTCATAAAACACACTAGTTAAGTTCTGGGAGACTGGGAAGATGTATTTTCTGAAAGCTTAAATATACTTACATGAGAAAACTTTTAAAAGCTCAACGACTGTTGACCTACCTACATAATTTCAAATACTTTAGCAAAGAAAGAACTTTGAAAAGCTTACGTACCTCGGGAGCAAACATAGTCTCATAGGTAGGATTATACTGAACTTCCTTGACAGCAGGGTCAAGGTGAACGCCAGTCTCCAAGTCTTCCTAAAGAGAAAGCAAAAGAATTCAGAAGCTGTGCCAGCTTTATAAAATACCAACTGTATGATTATTTGTACCATATGATTAATTCTAATAAAGATTAATAAAAGTAGTGTGTATAAATAATGTATAGGCAGTATTTAATGTATAAAAATTGTTTTCTTTTCAAGATACTATTAAAAATTTAAGAATTCTATATAATACTATATAAAGCCTTACAAAACATGGTTTAACTCTTCAATTAACTCGAAAGACTGATCCTCTAGTTCCAAATTCGACATAGGTACTCCTTTTTATTTAGTAAACCTATTCAGGTGTGTAACCAGATGGCACACTGTTGGATACTGCACAGGACACAAAAGGAAGTGACAGGACTTGAATCTGCTAAACCTAAAGTTTGATGATCCATGTCAATGCTTCAGTCTTCTTAAATTCAGTCCCCAGGATAATGCACAGAAAAGTCTCATCTTCACTGAAGAATCATTGGCAGACTATTTTCTGTAACATCACCATTTACAAACGCATCCATTTCCAAATTACTGTCTGCAGCGTGGACTTCCTCCTTGAATCAAGGGACTTGCACATAACTTTTCTTCCAGGATGTCCAACAGACATCTCAGATTACTCCTAGTGGTCTCTGTGCCAATGAATCTAAATTAACAGCAATTTATATTCTTACAGTTAATCAGCTGAGAATCTCTGGAGTTACCCTCGATTATTTTGTCTTCATATTCTATGTCCCATCTTTTCACATACATCCAAAATTCAATCTCTTCTCATAGCTTCTTATATCTACATTACTTTAATAGCTTTTTCACTAGCCTGACTGCTTTTTGCCCCCCCCCCCCGTCTCACTTCACAGTGCGATTTTCTCAAGATTATGTTGCAGATTATGCTACTTCTTTGCACTAACCCCATTAGCTTCACCACTCAAAGTACAGGCCTAACAAAGGTTTCCAAGGCACAGTACAGTTGTTCTCTGGAAGTAGGTGCATTTTCCTAAAGCAATTTGCAGGGCCTTTTCTTCTTTCCGTATTATCCTGATCGAGAAACTGCATATTACAAACACATTAATTATAACTGCTTTCCTTTTAGTTAGGGCATTCAAGTTATGAATGTTTGGAAAACTTTAAGAAAATTACATATCATGTATAAATTCTATTTTAGTAGTGTTGGGCTTATGAAATTGCTGTCATACAATGACGGACTTGAATGTAACTGGTTAAGAATTTATCCTTCGTGATCTGCCCCAGCCGCTAGCAGCCTGTCTTCATCCAGGGCTACACCTGTGCTCAGTGGTACATCTGCCATTCTCAGAAGAGGCTAAAGCACAATCCTCCTCACGAACGCTGTTCTTACTCTTTTGTGTTTTTGCAATATTCTTCCCTTAAATATCCACAAGGTTGTTCTCTCCGCTTTTAAGTCTCTGCTCATGTATTCTGCTTTCCTCTCACAATGCTTTACTTTTCTTCACTATATTTACTATCACCTGACACATATATTTGTTTGTTATCTATCTCCTTCCACTAAAATGTAAGCTTTTGCTAGGCACCAATATACAATCAATCCTTAAGACTACTCCAATCTTACTGTCATCTTTATTTTGTTGGCTGCTGGCTGATGGTAGGACACATCCATCAGCAGGATGCAAAGGCACTGTAAAGCAACATTGCAAATTTTGCAAAGCAGATGGGATTTCACAAAGTCAAGAGCAACACTACAGAAGAAGCAAAGATACCGGCCAAGAAAGCCCAGAAGAAAATAATAACAGAGTCACAGTTACTGTACCAAAACCTTACTACTCTTCAAGATCTTACAACAACTCTTTTACCAAAGCGAGCTATTTTTTAACTTGTTAGATAGAGTCCATCTGATATGACTTCCTTTAACTTTGCCTCTAGTTTCAAAGTTATCTTTTTATTATTATAACTTCAATTACGACTTGCAATTTTTTTTTCCGGCCTTGACCCTATGCCTGGCCTCTGGATCCTCATATCCAAGTACCCTCTGAATTTCATTATATATGGGTATCACAACATCAAACACTGTGCTACAGAAGACACCCCACTCCATGGCGCACCTGTACTAACACACTAGGTACTGACTCTTACTCTCCCCGAGAATACTTTCCCAGCAGTCTTCCACCTACCATTCTTCCACACAAAACTGCCACTGTCCTAGCCCATGGCTTTGTAGTAGTCAGGGGTGGCGAGGAAACAATTACATATAGGACACGGAATTTATATGATAGTCACCCAGAGTTAAATATGAGAAAGTGCACGATATCTGTCCACAACACTAAAGACCTAGAAAATCCAGCTGCAGGCCTGGAGCCCACAGCAATGTCCTGCTGAGTCCGGCTCAAGACCTCGAGCTCACGACAATGCCTCCCGCAAGTCCAACTGGAGGCCTAGAGCCTACAACGACTTATGCAAGTCTGTTCTATGGATCTGCACTGGAAAAGCTCAAAGGTCAGGGGTGGAAGCTAAAAGGTCTATCTCAGTGAGGTGAAGGATCTGTGCCAGTAGGCTGAGGGTTCTACACTGGAGCCAAGAAGCAACACTCAAAATAACCAGGGCTTCCCCGAAAAGCCATCCTCAGTGAGGTCCTGGGCTCCTCCAAAGATGAAAACAGTTGAGTACGTATGAGGAAGCCAGCATGACAACTCCTGGAGATGAAACAGCACAGTCTTCCCCTCTGGAGTCAGGAAGTGATGCTCAAAGTAAGGACCAGAGCTCCCCCAAAGTGAACCACAGCCACGTTCAACGACAGGTCCAGAGCTCCTCCGATGATAATGGCCAAACTCTTATTGGGGAAACTAGCCATGACAAACTCCTCCCCAAGAACCAAACAGCAGCAACAATTTGGAGAACCCACAATGCTACGCTCTTCCTCTCCACATCTCTTTTTTATGCTGGTAACCTTCCTTAGGTGGGCCATCTACACTCAGCACCACGCTGATTCAATTCAGCAGACGTTACGGTGACCACCAGGGCAGTTTTTAATCCATAACAGGCTTCATCGTATCTTGCATGCCCAGTATACTTTCCCCTTGACTTGTTTGCTTTATCCACACTTTAGCTTGCCATATTACACTGATGGCTGCCTTGTAAAAAACTGCAAGCATTATGTTTTCAGTGCTGCTCGCAATGTTTCTGACTTCAATCACAGGCCTCTACTTTGTTATCTCATAATATACCATCTTCCTGATCCATCTCCTCCTGCGGCAGGAAATCTGCTCTTTTGTTGACACTCCTAAGTAGTGTGTTCCTGACAGTACTGGTCATATAGTATTTGTTACACATGGCTTTTATTTACATTTCATATTTTTATTGCCTATTAGAATGCAGGGCATTTAGCACATGTTCAACAAATATTTGTTAAATTAAGTAGAAGAAAAGGCAAATCACAGAAAAATTAAGTAGAAAACTGTTTTTCTTTATCCTTAGGAAGACACTAAGTCAATAATGCAATCACAGTACAAAAGGAAAGAAGGGAACGGGAGAAACACATGAGAAGGAAGAGAAATGAAGGTCTGGTTATCCTGGAGAAAGTGAAAGGGTACTACCGCATAAAGAATTGGAAGGTTTGCTTCTGAAAAGAGGTCTGTCTCTGAGAGGAAATACAGGTATTTGGAGATGTAGGGCGTGATTGGAGTCAAAACTGATCTTTGTATTTTCTTTGTATTCAAGAAATAGGCACCTTCATAAAGCACTTCAGATTCATTTACTGACTCAGTCAATACTGTGAGCCAACTGTGTCCAGTACTATTCTAGACCCACAATGGACAAAAATAACTGTCTTTGTGGAGTGTATATTCTAGTGGGGCAGACAATTACAAATAAATAAATAAAGGGTGCTATCTACACATTATTAAACAAGAACAGTATTAGAGGTCTAACTTGAAACAAACCATAAAACTCATTGGCGTAGTGACTAGCTGTATCAGTCAAGGTTTTTAGTTGCAAACAACACAAATCTATACAGGTTGATTAAATAGAATTGAATCCTTATGACTTTTTCTTAGAATTGCTATGAAGGATAGAGATTCAGCTTTGAGAAAAAGACAGAAATACCGGACAAGTATACAGATGAGACAATTCAAAATCAATCATATCACTGACTAATCCAGCTGGGACACAATTTACTATTACTGCACATCATTACTAAAAGGCTACCACAGACACTAAATACTGGCTATCAAAACACTGACTTAAGGAAACAGAAAATGCTGGCCATCACTGCCATTTAAGATCCTCTTTCCTTTACTTCTTTTTGGACTAGCTATAGAATAGAAAGTTTGGGTGACTGCATCTGTTTGGCTGAGCCTGTTACAGTCTGAGACTGAGATGAAAGGAGCTTGGAACAAGAGAATCCGGGTTTTCACCTTGTGCAGACGGGGTAAAGCAGGCATGTTCTTCACAGTGAGACTCCTACCAAGGAAGGAGGTGCAAACACTGAAAGGTTGACAACTGCCTGTCAGCCTACAATGCATACAAGAATCTTCACTGATCAGAGACAGTCTTCTGCCTTGAGCTCAAAATTGAACCCGTTACTGTAAAATGAAAAAGTTACAAATAGCTTACATTGCATAAAAACTAAACCAAGTGTTTTTTCCCCGTATTATTCAACTTCTAGTGACAAAATTGGATAGAATAAGAGATGTAGATGGAAGCACACCTCCTGATGGGTTTTTTTTTTTTGTCTTTTTCCTTTTTATCGGTACCAGGGATCGAACTCACGACTGCCTGCTTGCAAGGCAGGTACTTTTTGCCGCTGAGCTAAATCCCCAGCCTCCTCCTGATGGGTTTTATAGGGCACAGTTGCTAGAAACACTTTACCATGTGGATTATCAGATCCTTTCAATCAAGAGTATTTAAAATACTGTAAATCTGAATTATTTTGAATGGCAGTATTAATTATGAGATATCGACTTTTAAATATAAATACAATTAAAAAATCCTTTAAATAAGCAACAACAGTGACTAATACATAATATAAATAGACACCAATCTCTGGCTGTTAATAAAAGTACAGACCTAACAACTTTCCAGAAAATAAAAGGTTGCTAATTTTACATTTAATTAGAACAACTTGGACAAAGCCACAACTTTGATTTAATACCCCTGAGGAGTTCCCTAACAATTAGGCATGCAATTGGGATTACCAAAGAATTATAAATGATTTCTACTTAGTTTTAATTAGTCACAAAAGGGCTGGGGATTTAACACAGTGGCGCAGCGTCTGTCTGGCAAGTGTGAGGTCTTGAGTTCAAGTTCGAGTACCAAAAAAGAAAAAAATTAGCCATAAAAATTCAAGTGCAGTAACTAAAGGAGACTGTATGTGTTAAATAAGTTTAAATAGTTTATCATTTCATGATTCAAAGTTATCTGAGAACAATACTAAACATTTCTTTGCTAGTTCTTTTCATGTTGTCCTGTACATAAATAAGAAAACAGACATGAAATCACAATGTAAACTGTAAAGCAGATCATTAATTAATCACTATTAGAAAGTACTTATCAATTTATGGCATAGATTTTCTTTCTTCTCAGAATCTGGAAATTAGTTGCAAGTAATAGAAACATTTCTACAATAGAAACTTAAGATACATGAGATGAAAGAATAGAAATTCAGATAACGGTATCTTTGAGTTTGGCCCTTAACAGATGTAGAGGAAAAGTGATTTAAATTCAAAAGCTGACAAATATAAATAACTATGCTTCAAACTTAGAGACAGAATTTAAGTCAGGTGTGTGTGTTTTTATAAGTTTAAAGGACAGTTAATAAGCAACCCCTGAAACCAAAAGAAAAAAGGGTTCATCCCATTTCTCAAGTGGCAATTTCTTTTTGTGCTGTTTTATTTTGGAGACAAGGTCTAGCTATGTACTGTAGGCCAGCCTTAAACTCACTACATAGTCCAGGTTGGCCTCAAACTCATAATGATCCTCCTCCCTCAGGCTCCCAAGCGCTAGGATTGTGAGTACGTATCACCAACCAGGTGCTAAAGCAGTAATTTCTTAGGTGCAAAACCTGACAACACTGTATTAAGATAAAATTTTTACCAGACCATAGTTACTGTTACACATTTGCAAACAGAAATATGTAAAAATAATTGGAGTTCCAACATAAGAGCAAAGTGGGACTAAAATAATATGGGATGCAACTGCTGATGGACACGGAAGGAAATGCACCCTGAAGATGAAGGCTAAGAGTCTGGGAGTCAGAAGGTGAGGGATTTCCAGGCGAAACACTAGCATGTGCAAAATCTTGAGGGGAAAAAAAATAATTTGGCAGGTGTCCCATACTACATAAGGAACTTCGAGATTCTCTGATAGGCAGTATGGTGTCTTGGGGAAGGGAAGCAACCTGTGAAATCAGAATTTAGAAAGAACATTCTCGGTGTTCTGTAGAGAAAAGAATGGGGTACGGAACTGGGAAACAAAACAAAGGAAGCAGAAAAAACGGTTAGAAAGCTATACATTCGTCTCAGAGATGATGAGAACCTGCACCAAGGAAAGCAGCTGAACAGGAAAGAGACATTCGATGAACACTGCAGACAGAGGACACTCCACCCAAATTCACACACTGGGAGAGAAAGGAAAGTCAAGAGTAATTCGTGGGACAGACTAGGGAACTATGAAGACTGTGTTGATGAGTACACGGAGAAGGGATTGATCTGGGGGAAACTACGAGGCAGAAACTTTACAGCCAGCTGAATGATCAGCTTTAGGGCTCGGGAAGAAGCCAGAAGGATGACCATTCTGTTCTTGGCTTGCACAAATGGGCAGCTTGGGAGGTCATTCATTCAAAACGGTAAAACAGAAAGAGAGAGAGACAAACTGTTAATCTTTCACCACATCGGATTGGACATATCCAAGAGCCATCCAGGGAGAGATGGTTATTGGGACTTAAGTTAGCAAGGAGTTTACAATTGGAAATAATGATAGCTGACATTTAATTTGTTTATTGTATACATAACAATACTAAAATTGCTTCACATGTTTTATGACAATTTTTATAACTCTAGAAGATACAAAGCAGTGTTAAACCTCTGAGAAAGTTCAAAGCTGAGGCCAAATTGGCCGAGAGTACATTAAGTGACTTATCCAAGGCCACCATGTAGGTAAGTGCTTAAGGTAGTGTGAACCTTGGAGTCTTGATTTAAGCCTGTGCCAAACACTTCACAGTGGCCACCTGAGACTCTGAAGATACAGGAGATTCTGTGCAATGCAAAAAGCACTCAGGGCAGGCCTGGGAAACACCAGTACTGAAGGAGAGTGCAGAATGGGGGACCAGAAGGCTGAGGACAGCCCATGCATATCAAAAGAACAGAACATTTTGAGAGAGAGGAACCCTTCAACAGTGTCACTTGATGCAAAGACTTAAGACAGATGGCTGAACCTGGTAAATGGAAAGCCTGGGACATCAGGCTTTCTTCGTGAGAACTTCGTTAGTAGAGGTTTCCCAAGAGGCTTGGGCCATACTGCATTGGGAGAAGGAAAAAAATGGAAGTGAAGTGATCCAAAGATCTATGAGAGAAATACAGACTTAGGAGGTTGCTGAAGAGAAACTGCGGAGTTTTGCAGTTAAGATACAATTACAAGCATTCTTGAATGAGAGATGTCCATTAATAAAAAATAAAAATTTGTAAATGGCTCACTAAAAACCTGTAAATAGCCTTAAGTCACAGCGCTACACTTGGGGACATCATACGTTAAGATTTTTGTACATACTTTGAGCTAACTGATTACACAGTTCTACTACAAACCGGTGGGTGCTCTGACCTGGCTCTAGACACAACAACCCTTCTTCAGTTCTTCGAAGACACTAAGCTTTCTTATTTTTCAGGTATTACCTATGCCTAGGAACTCTCGCCCAGCTTCCAATGGGATAGGTTCTCATTCATCCGAGACCTTTCCCGAGGATACTCCCTTGAGTCACACTCCTTCCTTAGTCTCTATCATGGCACTTTACTTGTTCCTTAATAGTACCCAATCCAATCTGTAACTACTTTGTTTGGTCACATGAAATTAACTACTTCTCCCATGATGACAAAAATGTCTGGCTTGCTGGCCTCTGTGGCTTGACACCTTAGAATGGTTCCTGGCAAAGAACATTTATTTAATAAATATCTGTCAAATCAACAATATAACTCAATCTTTCCCTTTGTATATTCCTGCTTCAGGATCCCATAGGCTGTATTTTAAATCCAGTACTTTGTTTTCACTGCATTAGTATATATAAACTGCAATAGCTAACTAAATTATTTCACTTAACCGTCACAATAATCCCCTCGTATGGTGTTTTAAAAATTAGTCTCCATTGTAAAGGCATACGCTTTTAATCCCAGCACTCGGAGGCTGAGGCAGGAGGACGGCCGTGAGCTGGGCTACATGGGAAGACCCTAAAACAAAACAAAAGCAAAACAAAAACCTCCATTGTGCAAATGGGGAAACAGGAGGTTGCGTAAACTGTCCAAGTTCACACGAGTTGTGGCGTGCGGATTAGAACGTAGAGTTCTTCAAAGTCAAAACAAAGTTGAGCTACTGCTCACTTCAACTCTAGCTGGAAAATCCTTACCTAGTTTTATTCATGTTCTGAAATTATACTGCTTCATTCCAGCCCTGGCCCAATCCAAGAATTTATGTCCCTTCGACCAATTATTTTCTGATGGACAGAGGCAAACAGAGGAGGGCTGTCTTTAACTTCATTCTCGGCTTCTCTTAAGGAAGATGAGATGGGAAGTAGACAAGAGCTAAGCGTTAGCGGAGTATCTCTAAACCTAAGATATAAGCCAGGATCTAACAGGCAGCCGGTGGTCTTGCAGCAGAAGCCGGTTTCCGCAAGCATCGGCAGCCAAAAACTTACCTTAACTGCCACCTCCGGGGCAGAGTCCACCGCCACTGCCAGAGAAGGCTTGCTCGAAGGCGACTTAGTCAGATGCATGAGGGAGTCGGCAGCTGGCAGCGGACATCGACTGCCCTCACTGTCCGAGTCCGATTCGGACCCTGAACCTGATCCATAGGAAGCGGCCAGAGCCGCAATTGCAGCCGACATGATGGCAAAGGATCGGCGGAAGAAACCAGGCCCTGGCGGAAGGAGCCCAGGCTCCCAGGTCCTGACAGAGTGCCACGGGAGAGATTCTTCTCCTTCTTTCCTAATAAATCATTTTTAACACTCTGAAGAAATAAATTGACTAATATTATAATAACTACACCCGAACTGGGGGTTCGGAAACTTTACCTAGGGCACCAGAGGGACTTGTAATAGCGTGTAACTTTCAGGACCTAGCTGGTTAAATGCAAGCCTCTGAGTTCTGAACTACCTTAAAGGCGGAGACTATCTGACTCCCGGCGTGCAGTGCGGCAGGAAGTGGAAACAGGCCCTGTGGGAAGTGTAGTTTGGAACGAGGGGGCGGGGAAGAGAGGGCGGGCTTCCCTCCGACCCCGCCCCTGAATGGATGGTTCCTTCAATTGGCTATCATCTCCCCTCATTCCCTAGCCAGGCACCGTTCTCCCCGTCCCCCTCCCCCAAACTGAGGATTGGGTAATACCACAGAGCCTCAGGAAAGGGGGAAGAGCGAGCTTCACTCCTTTGGATGGGTGAGTGGGCGGAGGTTGCGTTTCCCACCGCGGGCACACCTGGTCGGTCCCTGAGGGCTGAAGCAGAAAGTGAGAATCTTCGGTTCGAGGACCTGTGACGAGCCCGGGGTAGCTCCCGGGGGAAAGGATGGGAGCCTAGGTGGGGAGAGGGCCGCGGCTCCCCCTGCTGCTGGCGCGGGTCCCGGCGCCCGGTCGTGGAGCGTCGCGCGCGAGGAGGGGGCGGGCGGAGGGCAGAGGCGGCTCGCGGTGTTGTTCGCTCGCACCTCAGGCGCTCGGTGGGTCCGGCGGCCGGCGGGCGCCTCAGGCGGCATCCCCGTCGTCCCGCAGCTTCATCCGCTGCCTGGGACGGGTTCCACCGGAGCCCGATGCCCCTGAGGACTCTAGGTGGGTCCCGGAGCTGAGCGGACCGGCGGCCGCCGCCGAAGCATGAAAAAGGGGTAAGGCTAGAGCCCCCCACGGTTTCACGGTGAGCGCGCGACTCTCGGGAATCTCTTCCCGGGGCGGGGGTCCCGGGCAACGAACTCTTCCTCGCCCGCGGAGCGGAGAGGCGCGCGTGGGTCTCCGGTGCGCAGAGGTTGCGGGGATGCATGGGCGCGCCTCCCCCGCCCCCATTCCGGGTTCTCCGCCGCCCACCCGGCCTGGGTGCTGGTGCTGAGCGAGACGGCGGCCGCCGGGCTTTGGCTGCAGGGACCGGAGCTGCGCCGGGCCGAGGAACTGCGGGTCTCACCTGCGGGCTGGAGGCCGCCGCCCCCGCCACCGCTCGGGTGCTCCTCGCGCGGGGTCCGCTGGCGGGGGTGGCGGAGAAGCCTGGCCCGCTCCGTCTGCGGCGGCTCAGAGCAAGCTCCTGCCTTCGCGTGATTGCGCCGTGGGTCCTTTTGCAAGACATAACGGTAAAGCGAGTGCGGGCATCCTTCGATATATTAATGCTTTCGTTTGAAGAGGTAGGGAGGGCGTCCGGTTGCTTCAGATGCTGATTAATGGAGCGGTGTTTCGGGCGGAATTGGGGAGCCGCTCACTCAGCTCTGGTGTCGGCAGGACTCGCCCGCCCATTGTGCCACCCAGATAATTATTCAACTATGCAGCATCCATTGCACCTTTCTCATTTTTCTTCTCCCCTTGCTACAGCGTGCCCCCTAGCTTCGATACTCTGACACCTTCTCGCACTTGCGGATCATGAAGTAGAATAATGATGAAAAGAAGGCACATCCTACCCAAATGTTTCGATCTGTCCTGTACCGATTAATTAATTAACCAGTCCCCAGGTAGACTAAGTACTTAATAGCACTCGTTCTAACTAGCCTTTTTTGTTGTTGTTGTTAAAATCTAGGATGTACCTTGCGTTGTATTTTAATTTTTTTATTTTTGGTTTTAGATGAACATATTAGGCAGATCAGATTTCTGTTAAGTAGTTGAAGTCATCGATTTATCAGTTATTCAAATTAATACCGTTTAATTTGTATGGTAGGTAACTTTCATTTTTTAAATTGTTGATGGCACAAATGGAATCTCAGTTTGAACTCTGAGGAACAGTATATGTTTTATGCTGAAAGTTTCTGTTAAAGTATGCTTTCTTACGTTTACTATTTGAATAAAATATTTGATATAAAATAATTTATAGTTGAATTAAAAAGTTTTGTATTTTCCAACAGCAGAATACTTGCTTTCTAACATAGCCTTCAGTTGAAAGGAAGTATATTTATGTTTAAGGTGGGGTTTTTAACTGCCCTCTTGGTCATTCCCTAATTTACCTGAATTTTTAAATTCAGTCTTCTTTAGTGTCATATATATAAGTATTTGTCATCGCCTTTTTAAAGTTTTTCTGTCTGCAAGGATGAGTCGGTTCCAGTTTTGCATGATCTACCTAAAGGATGAAGTATTTTTTTGAAAACATAGGAAACGGTAGTTGGTTACTTGACTTTTACGTTAATAATTAAATCATTTTTTAAAAATAAATAATTTAATACCAAAAATGCTTTATGTTTACTTTTTGTGATCATCCCTTTCCATCTTTCCTTGTTTTTTTGTTGAGTTGACCCTTTTGATTAAAACAGAATTGCATATAGACATTGCAGAAGCAGGTTTAAGGTGTACTAACTGATGGCACTTGGAAGTAGTATACATGTAAGTTGACAGTGTTGGATCAGTCGTTTGATTAGGAGATGACCTTGCAATTTACAAAATGGACACCTTTGTGCCGTGGTTTTTTTACTGTATAAATGGAGGTAATGCTCACTAGTCCATAAGGCAGTATGTATAAATTTAGTAAAAATGTTTTCATGGTGTTTGTAAAGAGAATTTAAATATTTTTGCTGATGAACGATAGAAGTAATTCAATGAAAAAATATTTTTAGGTTTTTCTTTGCCATGTTATAGTGGTTCATTTACACTGACTTTTGCTTTGAACAGATAGGGTTTTGAAGAATTTTTCGCCTATCAAGCGTTTTTAGACTTAGTAATTACCATGAGTACCAATATAGTTAAAAGTATAATTAGTACTGGTAAAAGTGATCTAACTTGTTAATAATATTAACAGTAAATTTGTGAAAAGTAGGATATCCAGAAAATGTTAAAGCTGTTTGCATTAACAAATATTCTGATGCAAAATTGGCATCATTTGTGAGGTATGACATGGAGCTACTTTGCTCATTATTAAGATTTAACTATATAGCAACATATTAATACTGTATAATGCACATTATATTTTAAAGCTTTTTTTATTTGTATGTTTCGTGTACATCGTGTTTACATTCCTTGTGTGGAGTTGGTACATATGCATAACACATCTTAGTTCCCTTTCTCATAACCTCCCTTCTCTCGATCCTCTTCCCATTTAAAATCCATTTCCCTACTCCCATTATCTTTTCTTTTGCTCTTTAATTATAATGCGGAGTTCTCATACAAGAGAAATTAATTGTACATTTTGCTTAATTTTAGGGACATTGTAAGATACTTTTTTCAAGTGCTTTATTTTTTATCACAATAGTAGCTTTTGGTTTCCTTATGGGAGGACTAACAATCAATTTGCATAGCAAAAACTATTGAATGATTATATTAGAACTTTTACCCAAGCAGCGCTTTTGGTTACCTTGTGTAATAACATCATATAAATGATGGGAATCGTAAGTGTCTTTAAAATTCTACTGCAGAGGGTTTTTTGAGAATTCACATGGTTACATTTAATAATGTTTTTAATGTTTTCTTTAATTTAGCTATCATTATTATTTGAATAAAGGGAGGGAACTCATAATTTTTCCTAAACTCAGAGGATTATGATCATAAATCCAAAGTTGCTAACATAGTGTTCAGCAAATAGCAAGGAATCAGTTTTCTTCATTGAACAAATAAGATGAATAAGGAATGTCCATTGAATTAATCCTTCAAGTGAAAAGTTTAAGAGGTAGATTTATCAAATGTTAACTAAGGAAACATAGTTTATCTGGAGAAAAAAGAGAAAAGTGTATTTGGAGGTCCTTTGAAGTCTGCTGTCATCACCTGTAATAACCTATTTGATTCCCCTTTTTTGAACCAGTGCTAGATACTAAGTAATCTGTGTTAGTGACCTACGTGGAATATGTTCTTATCCTTACAGCTAACTTCACAAAAACGTACAATTGTTTTCTCTGTAGGAACTGCTTTCCAGTGAAATATTAATAAAAAGATACATCATATTTTGTGCTATATATGAATATCTAATTTTAAAAACAAATCTCTGAATTAGAAATTTTTATAAGGTCAAGAGCCTTGTGTTTTTAGTTTATCACATTCAGCTTATAATTTTGAGTCTTTGTGACTTGGTAGTTATAGCATTTAAAATTTGTAAAATGGTTTGAAGCTTGGAATGTATTTTCTCAGAAATAATATGTTTATCGCTAGATTTACAGACAGCCCACTGAAGGCTGTTTAGCCCATAATGTACTTGAATTGTAGAATTGTGCTAGTAATAATAATTATAAAATAATGACTAATATGAATATATTAAGATACTTATGATACTAAATGACCATCCTTTTATTTTGTTAGTCTGATAACATTATTAGGAGCTTGTCCACTTTTATCCACTGGACTTGAAGAGGAAGATACTCCTCAGTTCACTGAGCAATTCAGCCTTCCAGCATCCAGAGAGAGAAGTTAGGGACGGAGAGCAGCTGGTCTTCAGTAGGACTGACTCTCGGTCTCGGTTCCTCAATTGTTGAGCAAGAAAGTTAAAGTGCAAGCCTTCTGATGCTCCTTTTACCTACAAATAAAATTTCTAAGGCAATGAAAGTATCAGTGTAACTCCAGTGTTTCTTGAGTGTTTTCTTTTTCTATTGCTGCTTATACGCGCCTATCAGGGAATTTCTCCTTTTTGGATCTCCCTCTGAAAAGAACATACTTACTCTTTTTTTCACATGTGTATTCTTGGAAACAAGGATTTGCCGTTTTGTTTGTTTGTTTTTTGTTGTTGCAGTGTTTTAAGAACAATGTGTAATTTCCCTGCCTTCCCTCCCCGCTCGCGTCCCTTTCCCTTCTCTAGTCTCTCTCCCAGCCTCTTCAGAGTCTCTCGTTTTCTTCACCTTCCTCCTCTTTCTCTATTTCCTTTCTTCTTCTTCTCCTTTTCTCTTCTTTTTTCTCAAAAACAAA